TGCCCAAATCTAAGAAAGATCTGAAACAATGTTGAGTCTATTTGGGTTTCATTCTTGTTTCTACCCTACATTGGAAAGGAGAAAAATTCATAAAGTATTAGAATACAGGATTAATCCACTCTGGGATAGAGTGTGCAGCTTTAAATAATTTTATTTTTCAAATGTTTTAAACATCAGAGTCAAAATCTTCTTAAATACTGAAACATAAAAATCATCCCATAAACCTACTTGTTCTATGTGTTTACTTTAGTTTGTGTTTGAATAAAGATAAATAAACAGCTTCAGATCAGTATGTTAAATTGATTAATTTTTGAAAATAACTATGTTGTTACATTGATGACATTACTTGGAACTCATGCACAAATTAAGAAACATGATTTCGTATTAAATTTATGTTTAATGCACTGTGCATTAGCTTTTTGTGGTTTGCAGTATTTCAAATTTGCAAGCTGCCTGAAACAAAGTGTTACAAAACATTAGATGCATAAACCACCACATTTTGCTCTACGAGCATATGAGTAAGCTCAGGAAAGGATTTTTCGCCTTTTTTTTTTTTTTTTTTTTTTTTTTTTTTCCTAGCTGTATTCCTCTGGAAAAACTTGCGTGGAAGGCAGCACTGTGGTGTAAACCTATCTATTTGTTCTTCCCCAGAGCAGGGATGGATCCTTTTGCAGGCATCAGAGGCAGTTACATAAGCAGGAGCTGGTTCCTGTCTCCAGGTGCTGAGGCCTCTGCAGCAGGCTGAGGCTGGGCTTTGTGTCAGGAAAACAAATCAATTGCTTTCTCCTTGAAATAGTAAAAAAGGGTAGGAAATGGAATTCTATTTCTACTGTAGATGGTTATAAAGCAGGTGTCCTTTTCAGTTGAGCTGCTTGTATTTTCTGGAGCACAAAGGTTGATAATGCTGTAGTTGTTCTTGTCTCCCTGTTACTTTTGACTATGATACTTCCTGTAATGCTGCTTTGAAGTTGCTGCTCTTTTGACTGCCTTACTACTGCTCAGGCATGTGTGAATGTCTCCTTATGGAAACTTGGCTGGAGACAAAAGTGGAAATAATGGCTTTAAAATGGCATGGGGGAGAGTCAAGGGAAAAGATGCAAATATTGATGAAATAACTAGAGAGAGTGTTCTACTTTAAGCATTGTCCACCTCTGTTTGTTCAATTGATTGGAAAAAAAGACAATCCAATGCAGCCTTGCAGCAGTTTATCTTTTGTCAGCATTCATGGGTTGCGGGCTGATACAAAGTGTTGTATTACACAGAAATAGCCTGCCATGCCCCAGCCTGCTCTTGGGTGCATTTACATTGAGTGGCAGAAACATCAGCAAATTATAGGAAGTAAAGCTGAAGGATGCTTGGTCATCTTGAGCTTTTGGTGCAGGGAAAGGATTAGCAGTGACTGTATCTTATTTGTATTTGTTACATTTCATTTTTGCTGCTGTATTTAGTATTTCTTATTAAATGGATTTATGGTCAGTTTCAATTGGATTTTTCTAATCTGAACTGTGGTATAGACCATGTATTTTAAAAAACATCTGTATCATTTGCTGAGTTTTCTTTAATAACTTAGAATTCTGAAAGCAATTTTTTTTTTTTTTTTGCTGATTGCATTGAATGACTACTACTTCAATTTATTAATAGAACACTTAATTTTGGAATGCTTAATTGGGGGCCTAATCTGAAGTCCTTGCCATTGCAGGCATTCTCAGGTGTGTGGCAGATACTGCTACTGCTGTGTCACAAACACTTTGTAACGCCTGCCCTTCCCTTCATTTGCCACCTGCTAGATAGAAGGAACTCCTGTTTGGGGACAAAATTGTTGGGCATGTGGCAAACCACCTCTATTCCAAGCATTACATTGTTTGAATGAGGAACCCCCTTTTCCATTTGTGAAGGTTTAGCTTCCAGACTGATTGATCAGATAAAATAATTAATTTTACATTACTGTTGCGTGTCCTGAACTTTCCACCTGTCTCCCCCCTTGTTCAAGTACTCTGATTTCCTGTTCATGTAACCCCCTGCTATGGTATTCCTTGTTGTAGTCTGTATTTTCTTGCAGAGTTGGGGCCTGAACACATCCCCTGTCTGTAGTCTCTGAATCTCCCATCTGATACTTCCAGAGTGTAGACAAGGTAGGAAGTGAAGATACCAGTGTTGAAATCTGGATTTGCATTTAAGATAATGCCTAGTTCAACTAACCTAGCAATAATAAAATGCCTTAAAATGGCTGCAAATGTCTCCCTGCCTACTCAAAGACATCTCCTCACTGGTAGCACATTATAGAGGATCTGTAGTGTAGTTAAAAGTTGGATCTTTGCCAGTAGATGGAAGCATTTTTTAGCATCTCCTCATGCTTTGAGCATTTTTTGCATTTTTTTACCATAGTATCAAAATTGCTTCTTTTTCAGTCTCTTTCCATTTATTATAAGCTATTCCAGTTTTTCCTAGTTCAGATTACTTTCATTTAATGTTGTAAACATTTTTTTACATTCTTTTTGTGGAAGATATTTCTAATTATGTATTTTTGGAGTTCTTTCCTTCTATTCTTCATCCTTTCTTTATTCAGAGCACGTCTCTGCTTGTCAAATTTCTCTTCAATTTCTGTTTTGCTTTTGCAGTAATTGGTAGTCGCCTTCTTGGAGCTCCTGAGGGAAATCAGACACGTAGGGTACAACCAGAGCAGCACCTGAGTGTCACCACTGTAGGGCAGGAGACAGAGGAGTGCAGCCCACCACCAGCAGAAGAGATAAAAAACTGAAATGCTCCAAGTAGCAAAATGGGACAGCAGGGACATGGGCCCTCCTGCATTTGCAGTGATCTTAGGTCTCAGTGGGCCCATAATTTTTAGGTGGAAATGTATGTATTTTTCACAAGTGTGATGGAACCATTTTTTAGCAGTGTGTGTGATTCAGAGAAAACCTAATAATCACTAGGTTATATATTGTTGTGAGTATTCTGGGCTCTCATCTGTAGTTATTTCTTTTGTCCCCAATTTTCATTTAAATATCCTTCTCTTCCATTAAATTCTTATTGAGAAAAGAATTTGGCTCTGTTGCCAACTTGTTCTTTTTTTCCATGAAATCTAAATGTTATAATTTACTTTTCTTTCCTTTTTTTACTTGCTTTTTGTTTAAATATACTACATTCATCTGTAAGCATGCTTTGATTTTTGCATTGATCTTTGTAAGGGGAAATAGCTGCTGAGAGTAAATGTTGAACTGTAAACAAAAAGCTCCAGGACCTCAGGTAATATCTCTTCAAAGCTTACTTTGGAGACTGGCACCCATTGATTGGTTCTTCTCTGTTGAGTGGTTACGCACAAAAAAGTCATTACCTGGCAAGAATGGAACAAGGAAAGAGGAGCAGAGTAAAAACAATGAATAATAAAGCTGTGCCCTGAATATTGCTTGCCTAGAAGGTTTGCAGGCTTAGAGCAGGGGTGTCAGCAGAGCTCGTTTCAGCTGTGGGTTGCTAGGGCTGATCCATTTCTGATCAGGGAAGGTTGAACTCTGTGGTTAATGTATGACTGGTTCATGTGATGTTCATGATGCAGCTGACAGGCCTTGCCATAAATCACAGACAGAATTGTCATTAATTGATCTGTCTTTTCAAAGGGGTCACGAAAACTGAATCATTTTCCTGTACTACAGGCTGGGAGGGGACACTGTGGTGGTACAGAAAACCTTCCCCACTGCCACATGTACTTCACATCCCTTTGAAAAGGCTTATTCTGAGGCCTTTCAATGGAATTAAATTTCGTCCTCTTCTGTTTTTGCATGCATGTGATACCTATCTGAAGAATGTTGTAATAAGATAACATCTACTATTTCCCAGATAACCAAAATTCATTTTCATTTATAGAGGCGGAAATACACACAGCATCAGAAATTTTACTTGTATACAGGAAGAGTTCTGCTGGCATCCAAAGCTGTGGGATTCTAGTTTGAAAACAGTACTACTCAGAGTGCTGCTGTTCAGTTCATTAGTTTCCTGGAATTATTACTGTAGCTTATTTCTGAAAAGAATAATAAACAGCCCTGGGAGAAATTTAGTGTAACACTGAATATTGCTTTCATGCATGGAGAACTGATTTTTTTTTTAGCACTGTTAATTTTGCTGGAGCTTGAAGATTTTTTTTCTAACATATGTTGCAGCTTCATCACAGTACTAATAAATACTTCAACTACCTAACAGGTCAAAATGTCAGTGCTAGCAAACCTTAAAAAATGGATTTGATGTATCTCATTCCTTTTCTTGTTGCACTGTTTGTCATAAACTGGTTTCTGTTTTCTCTGCCCATGGCTGTGTTGGATTTTTGAGCTATGTTGGCTGTTAGGATGCAGCCTGAGAAAATAGGCACCTGACCTATAGAAATGCTGTGGATTGAAGAACAAAAGTTTCTTCAGACTACTTTGTTATTCCTCTTGGGTCCTGTGTGCTATTGAAAGTTGATGTGAGTCTTCTGAGAAGAAGCCTTTAGGAAGTGAAGGGAGTCTAAGATTGTAGGGAGAATAATTTGAAGACAAAACCACTTGTTTAGCTGTAACAAAATCAGTGGGAAGCTGATGAATACAGTTTACAGAATTCAGAGGGCTGTGAATTTTTGTTGACTATCAGAGCTACTAGCTCTTTATTTTTGGAAGGCTTATTGTCGTATAATATAATTGATTTCAGAGGCTAACTTTATAAATTGTTACAGTCAAGGTCATCAGGAATACAAGGACAGGTGGAGTTGCTGCATTACACTGAGGGTTTACAGTTAAGTGAAGAATAATAACAGGTAGGTAGCAGTGTGGTTTTTATTAGCAGCATTTTTCACCAGACTTTTGGAGAGCAATAGTGCACACACATCCCTGAATTCAAAACTGCAGATGTAATCCAAATCATCTGAAGCTTGCAGCATTTGCCAAATATGCCTGTGCTAGCTGCAGTCACGTGTTGAAAAGGACATGGTTTGTGGCAGAATTACCTGTCATAAAATACATGTTTGTGTTTTCTAGGATCAAGTAGAACACCCTGATTCAGCAGAACTGGCTGATTGTGCTGCAGTCATCATGAGAAGGCACAGGGTCATTTGTTCCTTAACATATGTGTAAGAAAAAGGTAAGAGGCAAGTTCTGCTTTAGAATATAATGATTCAGAGTTCTGCACCTCAAATGTTTTTTATGTGTTCTTACAGATACATGTTTATATATGTTATAGGTAAAACGATATCTTTAACAATATACATATACCTTTGTGTATGGATGGATCTCTTATAAAGATGTTGGCAGTATTTTTAGCAATTGTTGTTTCGTTTTTTACTGAGAGTAATTGCCCCATTTTAGAGCAAAGATTGTGTCTTATTTTGTTTGGGAGGGGGGAAGGCGGGCAAAGTCTTTCTCAGCCTGTGCTGTAGCCAGGTCTCATCAGTTCTAAATAAAGCTATTGCTCAACTCAGAACAAAGTGTTCATTACAGCAGAGGTGCCTGACTCGCAGGGACAGGTAACACAGATCGCCGAAGGGAGCTGGAACAAGATGTGCACTTGACCATTGTTTGTTGGGGTTGAAGGAAGTCTTCAGGAGCCCTGGATCTAATAAATCTGTCTGTCCAGTCCATCTGTACTTCTGTGCTGTCGTGCTATGGGGAAATGGCATTTTCTGGATGTGTGATTTTTATCAGGATGAATAAACAATGTCTGATTTCAGTTTGATCATTCCCTTTGTCACTTCCATCTTAGGAGCTTTTCATGGATGTTTTTTATGAGGACTATAATAAACTGAGGATTTTGTGTAGTAAGAGATTACTGAAATGTGTAGGTTCACAGTTTGATATTGAAAGAGTTGTCTCCACAGGACAGCATCACAGAAAATCCTGAAATCCTATTCTGGTTCTTTACATATTCTCTGGTTTTTAGGTCTTTGCTGTGAGGCCAATAGTTGAATGTCAGTATTTCCTTTCAGTGTGTTTTTTTATTACATTGTTTTACTGTAATTATGAGCTGATCATCCACTGTTAAAGACAATTAGAAAGACTAAAGGCTGTCAGTTCCCGTGGTGAAAACATCCCAAGGATAATTTAGGATGTGCAGTGCAGAAGCTCATGGGTTACATAATCCCTTATCATAGAGCCCAACACAAATACGAGTCTGGCTGCTTTGCAGGTGTAACACAAGGCCATTCTCTTGTACAGTTAATTTCCCAGGAACAAACTGGCATGTGGGATATCTGAGCTCTCTTGAGAGGCAGTCTCCAAGGCTAAGCCTCTTTGAAATAACACCTAATTTTAAGGAAGGTGTTTCTGTCCTTTACTTGTGTCCTTCTTTCCCCCACTATTCAGCTGAAGTCTGTGTTGTGTTTGAATGCTGTGATGACAAGGGCAGTAATTCTGGGTAGAAATGACACCCACATTTCTGGTACATGCACCTTTAAATTTAGACATCAAGGGAGAGTAAAGCATGTAAGCTTCATGGAATGTAAGTTCCTGAGTTTCAGAAATGAAGATGATGATAAGCCCATGCTGTTGTTATGAAGAAATTGAGAAGTAAAACACACTTCCTGAATTATGCATGATGTGTGATCCAGCAGGAGCTTGAAAATAATCTGATTTGACAGACTGCATGTTTTAATTAGCTCCTTGCCCTGAAAGACAGAAGATGACTCTGCAATGGGTTACGAGTGATCTTGAGTTCTAGACTTACATACCAGTGGACAGTAGCCATTGTATTACTCTCTTTTGTATGCACAGCTAAATAAAACATAAAATTTTACTATTTTTTTCCATAATTAGTCTTTTCTGCTAAGTGTTTGCATGGAGGACTGGATTTTTGAAAAAAAATCTCCTGTTTTTTACTCATTGCTGGTTTGTACTTCCTTTTCCTTGCAGTGGCACAAGATCCTCTCCTTCATATTGTTCATCCCAATATATAGTAATTTAGGATCTCCTTTTTGGTTGCATACATCTAAAATTACCACTGAAACTTCTTTCTGATTTGCTCCTGTTTTATTCTCCTTTCTCCAGAGTTTAAGTGTTGTGTGTTTGCTCATCAGCTTCTCTCCATGCCATGACTCAGGATATTTGAGCAATACTACAGAGTTTCTCAGCTGTGAAGGATCCTTGAAAAAATGTCATGCCAACCTTTGTCCTAAGAGGAGCTTTGGGATTAGAGTAATTCTAAAAGTCTTCCAAACTTTTATAGTGGTACATGTAAGATGCAGTCAAAAGTTTCAAAAGACCTGTAAAGGAATATGTTTCTTATTCAGCCTTGAGCATTTAATAAAAATATTCAAAATAAAATTAAATTCTAAACCACAGGGAAAACAGCTCCTCAATTATTATGGCATGCTCTATTAGAGCATTTTATTTTCTGTTTTGATCTTGAGTTGCTGGCTATGGTGAGTTGAAGTATTAAATCTTCAACTTGCAAATATGTGAGTTGCTGACAATTAGGAAGCCTTGCTGATATCTGTTGGGAACATGAGTACTCATCCTCCTCTACTGTCAGACAGAGGAGAAGAGGACATTAAGGACTTCTGTGGATTTGGCAGTGTGTTTTGCCCTTGGCAGAAACTTGCAGAAAAGCTTGGGGGCTTGTTGCATTCTTTTATATAGTAATAATAATAATTTTAGATATTAGACCTAAAGATTTGCAGCTGACCTTTTCTGAGAAATACCTTCTGGAACAGACAATGAGATCTCATTTAGAGTGGCTGTCAGCTTAGTGACTATGAGCTTAAAAATAAAAGGTTCTCCATATATCCTGGTACATCAGTGAGTGAAATAACAATAGTGATATAAAAGGTCTTTTCTCTCTTCAGTTGGAACTCATGAGCACAAAAATTTGTTATGACATTTTTCAGTCTTGCAGTGTCTCACTGACAAATACTCTTTGCATCATTGACTTTAGTAGCAGGACTTTGCCTAGGAATAATTATACATGTCTTCATCAATTGTTTGCTAGAAGCTATGTTATTATAATGTAAATTAAATACATTATAAATGGATGTGCAATCACCTGGCATTTTGTAGAAAACAGTGCTACTTTTTGAGACTCCTGAAATGCAGCTGGTGATCAAGGTGGGCAGCTTTTCCATTGCTTATGTTATGATCTGTGCATCTGTGCACAGTAAATGATGTGGCAAATCATCTGTTTTCCTTGCAGAAAGAGTTAATCAACCTCCCAGAACACAGGACAAATCTAGGAGTATGTCAGATGACAAGTGTAGTTATCTTGGGATTATTTTGCAAATGGGCTTTTTACTTTTGATGCATGTTACATTAATTTTCTGTAAAATTTCTTGCTTTGTGTATATCTTTAACACATGCCTTAGTCTAATTATATTAAATAGCAATGTATTTATGTTTATCATGATCACCTTTTAAAACAACCATGTATCAAATTTTAAGTTGACCTTGAAAACTTGAATTCTGCATTTTGCGATATTTTAATGCACAGTCCTTTCCTATCAATAACCTAAGTGCAGCTGTTGCCCATTATAAGTGCAAAACTGTTGTACCGTAAATATTTATAATTAGTGAATTTGTAAATACAAAATGTTGTAGTAGTAGAAATAAAAGTGGTTGATGTTTTCCTCAAATCCACATACTGTGGGGATGGTAAAGTATTGTTTTAAATTAGAAACTTCCTCTAATGTGTTGTATCTCTGGTGGAAAAAGGCAGGTTTTTAATTGAGCTGTCAGGTCTAACACTGCTTCATGCTGCAAAACAAGGTTCTCACCCTCTCCTCCTCCATTGCCTTATTTCACAACAGTGAAAGCCAACTCTGAAGAGAATAAAGCTGTTTTGGATGATGTTCAGTGAACAGATCAAGTCAAGGTCTCTGTGGTTTATAGGTTATGGCACACATTTCCCACCGAAAATGTCTGCTGGTAGTGAATGTTTGGGAAAAATGAATCAGGGTGTCTTGTTGCTACAAGACTTTGGTAGTGAGGAGTCCATGTTACTGCTGTTAGGGCAAAATATTACATATTATGTGAAGATAGTTATGTAATGATTCAGGGCTGGGTTTTTTGCTTTGGTTTTGGGTTTTTTTCCCCCTCATTTCTCTCTTGTCATCTTCTTTTCTAGCCTGAGAGCATTATCTCTTGATGAGACTATTTACTTCTGTGCATTTTGCTGGATTTCCAGTGGCTGCCTTTCAGGGAAACAAGGATTATTAAAGTAGACATTTTAAGAGGCAGCACAATTCAAGTAACACCCATTAAGTCCCTTAACAACTTTTACAAGTATGAATCTTTGAAGCATCTCGAGAGGAATGAGGACTGACACAGAGTACTGCTAGCCTACGGTACATTAAAAAATCAGAAGCACGGGGAGTTTAAACTCCTTGTTCAAAGCCACATGAACTAATTGGTGGTAGCACAGATCTGAGAGTCAGGTCTTCAGATTCTGTAGCTGGCCTTTTTGGTTTCTCTAGACTGGTTTATTTTTTAGACTGGTGTCACAGCAGTTTTTGCTCTTACCATTATGGTGATCCTGATAGGCAGACACTCTAATGTGAGAGACTGGAGTTAATAAAATCCAAAGCAAGTTTGGGGAAGTTGTTAATCTGAATGAAGCAAGTTTAAGCACACAAATTATTTTTATTCCTGGAGAATACTTTTGATTTATGTCTGTAATGTATGTAAAATTTGATTTACAAAGGACTTTTCCCCTTAAATCAGGACGATATGTAAGGGAGCACTGGTGACTGAAGGTTAAGCATCTGATTGTAATTTGTTCTCTGGCAGGTTTAGACAAGGATCTGGTGGTTGTTCCCTGACAAATGGAGAACTATTTCCAAGCAGAGGCATATAACCTCGATAAGGTTTTAGATGAATTTGAGCAAAACGAAGGTGAGTCATTTTGTAGATGCACATCAGATGTCTTCTACAGAGCACAATATAGAAGAGGGGGAGATCTGTGATACCCTTTCTGGGTTTGAGTTGCCAGTTAATCTCAGAACTTACAAAAAACATTTTTTTAATTTTGCGTGGTACTTGTCTTCAGCATTTCTTAGTAGCATTCCCTTCTGCTTCCATTCATCTTGTTTACCTTTGTAAAATTTCTTCCTCTTTTAATAGCAAATGTATCATACACTTTTAAAGAAAGGTTTTGTGAAGCTTAATCTCAGTAGCAATATTTAAATCATTTATATTAAACAAATCAGGCAAAACTTATTTTAAGCTTCTTTTGCAGAAATGTTTTATTAGGTCACATAAATCATATAATGAAGGTTATCATGTTCAAAGCACTAATTTTTTTGCTTAGTCTAATTGGTAATTTTTTGCTGTCAGGGAAGTTGAACTGTTCATTTTATGGGGGTGAGAATCTTTCCAGGCACTTCTAGCTGTCTGAAATATATTAATCAATACTTTAAAGCTGCTTTGCAAATTCAACCTGATACTAACTGGGGTAGCTCTAAACTTCTTGAGTTCCAGTAACATTATGGAATTACCCTACTAATGGTTGACCAAGGATGTTGGTTATGACGGGTGAGCTTCATTTTTGTGCCTGTATTTGAACACTTCTGCCTTTTCATTTGGGACATTCTAATGCAGCAGGATTAATAGAACCTATAGCTTTAATATGGCAGTAAATTTTGTTGTTTAAACCCTTTTTCAGATGCCGCTGTTTCACCTACTCTGCTGGGTGCAAAGTGGAATCAGATTCTAGATCCGCCTTCTCGTCGCCTGTCATTCAACTCGGCTGTGGCCAACGTGGATGAAGCTACAACTCCTAATGAATGTCAGCAGAGATTAAAGTCTTTCTCCTTGTCCCACTCAGTGACTACACCCACAGGAGGAGGGGATCGCTGTGCTAATGGAAAGGATTTTAGCATAAGCCCAGAGACCCCAGTCATGTGGATTGATGATCAGGCAGCAGCAGATGATCAGTTGATTAAAAGAAATAGTAATCGGGATGATCAGTGTAACTCTATGGAAGCTGGAGAAAAGAAATGTGGAAATACAGCTTGCTTGCCAGAGGAGAAAAATGTGCTAGTGGTGGCAGTCATGCACAACTGTGACAGAAGAACACTACAAAGTGGTGATGTGGTGGATTGTACAAATTACAACAGTCAGTCCCTAATGGACTCTATTAGCTTTACACTGGATAATGAAAACCGACAGAGTGACCAGTTCAGCGTTACTGTAAATGGATCCACAGAAAAAGATATTGATACAGAAAAGCAGGTAAACAGGCTGTGCACTGAAGATGACTCTGTAAGTCACCTGATTAATGCTTCATCTGAAAGCCTGACCGCTGCATGCCCCTCCTCTCGATTAAAGGAGGATTTTAATATGAATAAAGATTTGCTGTTTTCAGAAGCTACAACTGCAGGGATCAATGCAGTGACTCTCTTACAGAGACCAGTTGATGGTACTGCTAAAATGCAAGAAAATTGTGCATCAGTTGAAAATTTCACTAGTAAAGCCATTCCTCAGAGAACAGATCTAGAAGCTAAAAACTCTTCTGGTTCCAGTAGTGGAAGCTTAATTGTAGAGCAGGAAACAACCCAGCAGTTGCAGTCTAGGCTATCTGGGCTCACCGAGACCTGTCAACCTAACGTGGCTGGAAGTGGCAGTTACAAGGAATGTGTTGCAGAGGATGTTAGTGCCACTGAAGGCGAAGTCATTGAATGTGATAAAAATCTCGGCACAACGGAATTGCACAGCATGGCAGAATGTTACCCTGAATCTCAGGAGATGACTAATTGGGAGCTGACAAAGTTGAATGAGATGAATAATAAGCAAGCTCTAGGAGAGAATGAAAGACTTTTACAGACCAAACAGCCTGATGATGCATGTGGGAATAGCAAAGAAGATGAAGATGGGGCATTGGAGGCAGGCATAGACTTAAAAGGGTCTGATACAGATGAGCTTGGAGGGTCCAGTCTCTCTGATGTGATGGCTACATCAGCAGCAAGCTCTCTGTCTAATGGTTGTGATTCCTATGGAATGCAGAACCCAGTTGTTGCTCATGTTCCAAAGACTTTACCCTCCAAGGAAGACTCAGTAACAGAGGAAAAGGAGATTGAGGAGAGCAAGTCAGAATGTTACACTAATGTTTATGAACAGAGAGGAAATGAGGCCACAGAAGGGAGTGGTCTTATTTTAAACAGCACTGGCGACCATATAAAGAAAAATTATTTGCATAATCTTTGTAGTCAGGTTTCATCCATGCAAGGGCAGACTTCACCAAAACCAGTGACTAACCTGCAATATATCAGTGTTCCTTTTGGTGGTGCAAGACCTAAGCAGCCCACAAATCTGAAACTGCAGATTCCGAAGCCATTATCGGACCACTTACAAAATGATGTTATTCCCCCAAATTGTGGAGGTAATAGTAAAAACAAAAATGTCTTTGGTAAGACACAGTTAGGGGATACAGCAGACACGTTTCCTGGTGAAACATCTTCAAATGCCTCTGGTACTGGTTCTAGTGGGGAACATTTGGACGAGTATGAATCTGGAGTCTCTAATAGTTCGTGCCTTGCAGTAGCCCCAGATAGTCCAGATAATGATCTCAGAGCTGGTCAGTTTGGAGCTCCAGCCAGAAAGCCTTTTACGACTTTGGGTGAGGTGGCTCCAGTGTGGGTTCCAGACTCTCAAGCACCAAACTGTATGAAATGTGAGGCCAGATTTACATTCACCAAAAGAAGGCACCACTGCAGAGCCTGTGGGAAGGTAAGTTCATATTTTGTGAATAAGCTCAAAGCACCCTTTTTTTCCTGATACTGCACAACATCTCATCAGAGGGCTTGCTAAGCTACTGGATATAGTTACCTGTGACATCTTTTCCTAAAAAGCTGTGTCTGAGTGAAGCAAAAATGGGAATTTCTGAGCTCTGATCTATTTAGGGGGCCAGTAAAGAATAACTGATTGTTATTAGTCTAAATGAACAGTTGTATTTGTTGATTGCAATGATCATCATCCTTGGGTTTGTGTCAGAACTTTTATAAAATGACTAAGTGCAGGAAACTGCTTTACAGAAATTACTGCATCAATAATCCCATTAAAGTTTCTGAAACAAACTTGTGTATTGGGAGTGGGCTGTTGGATTGCTGGCATTCCTGCTGGTTTGCACAGCTGATCAACTCAGTTCTTCTTGGTCTTCTTTACTATTCTCATATTGCTTACATTATTTTAAATAGTACTAACACGTTTTTAAACATACATTTGCTCTTGGGGGGAAAAAAAAAGTGGTTAACTGTAACCTGGTGTATGTCCACATGGTGAGAAATGTCATAATGAAGACAACTAAATCATGATTTCTGTATCACTTTTTGTTGTGTAAGAAATGCTTTATTGTTATGTTTTAACATTTTACGTGTGTGTCACTAAGTGAACTCAAATTCTTATGTGATGATTTTATTGTAAATTATTAACCTGTAAAGTATTCCAAATATCTTTTACTGAAATATATGTCAGTGACATAAGTAGGAACTCAGGGAGAAAATGATGATTCTAAATAACACTTTTGTTAATTAGGTATTAATGAATATTGTAAAAAGAAATACTAAAACCAACAAGAAGTAGAATAAAAATAACTTCAGTTCGTTTAGGCCTCGTTCAAAGGTTTCTGAAGTTGATTAAAAGACCTGGCTGCTATGGGTGATAATTTTTGCTACAAGAAGAATGCAGGGAAAGCAGAATAATGAGGATAAAGGACCTGAAAGAAGCAAATGTATCAAGAGAGCTCAAACCTTTATGCCAGCTGGTTCTGGAAGCAGCCCAGCAGAGCCCCCAGGCTTGCTCCTGTTCCCTTTAGGAACCAGAATGCACAGCACTCAGCCTCTCAGTGCAGAAATGCTGAGCAGACACTTGGAAAGGCTGAGCAGACACTCCTGGTGCCCTGCTCCAGGACTTGCAGTTGGTTCAGCCCGTGCTGCAGCAGCTTGCTTGCAGTGGAAGTCCTGATAGGAGCCAGTAACCACAGGTGATCAGTGAGCATCACATAAAGCACATGCCTGCCTTCAGTGTACTTTTGGTTTGTATCAGGGGCCTCATTCTTCTCATGGCAGTTAAGGGGAACCTGTAAGGCATGGAAGTTAAAGGATTGTCCATGCTTTTCATTTTGATATGTTAATTTATACTGTTATTTTTTTGGGGTTTTTTTTCAGTTGGACAAATTTGACTTCAGTTTTCATGTGCAGTAATTTTTTTAACTTATTTTTTGTTTTAAACAAGTTTATTGGTTGGATTTAATTGCTTCTCTGTAATGACTGAAACTCTGAGTTGCACAAATGAATGCAGAAAATTAAAGTATCAGTAAATGACAGAACATGCAACAATGGGACAAGACAAAAAATTTCTATGTGTTTTTTTCTTTTTACATTCTTCTGACAAATCTTGAGAGGAACCACCAGTGCCAGTGGGATTTTTTTGATTATATGTGGGAAATGGATACAATAAAAAACCCCTCTGCTCAGTAGACAAACTGACTCAGTAGACTTAGAATGGATTGTTTTTAGAAGCTTTTGTTAGCAAATGTTTGTCTGGGCCAAATCTGCACAAGTGCAGCCAGAAGATGTGGCAGAAAGGACTCATTAATAAGTGCTAAGGATCAGTGTAAGTCAAATAATACTTAGCACTTTCTGCAAATTGCCTTACAGCCCTCAATTCCTGTAATGATTCTGGGCAGAGAGAGACCAAAGCTTTGACAGACAAGTGCTGATGAATGTGGCTGCAGTGGTTTGAGAAATCCCTGTTCTCACTGTCTGCTGCTGCTTTCTGGTCACCAGCCCCAGAGCAGTTGAAAACTTCACTGGTAAAGCCATTCCTCAGAGAACAGATCTAGAAGCTAAAAACTCTTGTGGTTCCAGTAGTGGGAGCTCAGTCATAGAACAGGAAACAACCCCCAAATGTGTAGGTAACTCCTGAACCACAGGGATGCTTCCACTGTTAAATGCCTGGATCTCACTGAAAGAATTAGGGAGACAACATCTTCAGCCCTTGCCGTTATTTGTTTCTAGGGAAGTCATGGGATTAAATATTTTGAACACAAGCTTTAGCACAACAGTTTCTTGTTAAGCTTTATTAGCTTAACAAGATCGTGACAAATCATTTTAGAATGAGTCTGTTTCATTTGGGAATGAACACTGCATTTAAAAATAGTGGAGTGCTAACTGTGAAGTCTGGGTTTTTAATTTCAGGGTAATAATTGCAAAGTTAATGGATGATATGAACAATTTGGATTGATAGAAAGTAATACACTTACAGTAAATTTTGAGTTAAAATTAAGAACCTGATGAATATATGGACACATGTATAAATTATATGTTATGTATTTATGTACCTTCTGTTGTCAGATTAAATCATCATCCTTGATTGGAAAACCAGAAAATTTGTATGCAATCTTTTTTACTGACAACCAAAATGATATTTTTCTACTAAAATACTAAAAAATCAGCAATTCCACTAGCAACTAATGTTTTAACAACTCCTAGTGAACCTGAAAACCCTAGTAACATAAAAACTTGCTTTGACACTGCTCTGTTGTTTTTTTATAGCATGATGTACTGAGATAATGACTTGGTGATTGTTAATAACAAGTCTGACTTGTCAGTTGTGCTGGATTGTGTTCCCTGCATTACTGCTGCTCAAGGCTGATGCAGCCTGAGAGAGGAGGTGGGGATGTTCTGTCATTGCTTCTATTTTCTCTTTTAATATTTAAATCATTGCATTTGGGAGCTTTCATGAATATGTTGTTGAAAAAGGGTTCTAAATTAGATATTAATTTGTGTTGGGCCTTCATTTATGGTTGGTGACATTGATTTTTCCATGTTCAATACTGAATGAACTTTTGACTGGAAGTTTTGCCCAGAGAACTGAAATGATGTCAAATGTCTCTAAAATATGCTGTGATGTTGTTATAAATATTCCCTAGAATACATGTAAATTGGGTTAGGATGTAAGTGCAGAAATCAGATTTTTTGAATATATTTACTTTGGTTTTTTAAAGGTTTTCACATATGCAAAAGGCGGATTTTATTTTTGCATTAAAATTCCAGTCTATGCTTAATTATATTTTGTTTTTGAAATGTTTGAGTTGTTATAGTTTGAAAACATTAAAACTGGTTCTAATGAGACAAGGCTGAGCTTTCTGCACAGTTGATTTTCAGCTCTCATGTTTAGTTCAGAACCTGTATTTGCTTATTTTGAACACTTGCCACTAAAAGTAGTTGTAATTTGGTGTGATCTTTAACTTGGTTGAAATTTAATTAGGCTTAAACACATTTATGTATAACAATCCTGTGTAGCTTCTTGTCTGTATTACAGAAATAATGCTGCTGGAGTGATGGAATGCTTTTTTTAATTTAGAAAGCATTATAGATCATAATAATGCATAGTGTATTACAAAGATAATATCCACCTGTGATTAAATTTTGAAATTCTCTCTTGATAACTGAACTCATTTGTTAGGCAGCTGCTGCTGTTTCTAGATCTCCTGAGTGTGACATTACCTTTCTGCAGGAAGTGGATTTTCATCAGTATCTTCACATCACTGGAAAATAACCCTGAGGAACTACTGTGTTTTTTTTTTAAATAAAGACAATATAATTATTTAAAACTAATAAGAAATCATTAAGGGCACGTGCTCTGCAGGATTGTGAGAAGGCAGTTGCTACTGCAGGATCATATCTGCATGCAAGTGCACAAGCCATGCTCATGTTTGATGGTTGTGCTTGTCTGGAGGAAGCCTCAGGACTGTTTCCTGCCCAGGACTGGGGAATTTTTAGAGCTGGTTCAGGGGAGAGGGACCAGCACTGCAGCTGCATCTCCACAGCACTTTGTGCTCCCTGGGCTTTGCCCCAGCCCCTTCAGCAGCCAGGGTGCACAGAATGCAGTTCCTGAGTTCTCCCTGCTGTTGTGGTACTGTGGTGGTTGTATTCATGCCAAAAGGAGCTTTTTTATAGAAATGGAGCAAGATTTTTCTTGCAGTACTAATGTCATTCAGCTTTCTGAAAAGTCTTGGTTTATGTGTTTAACACTTAAAACATTTTGATAATCACTGTTGGTCCTCAACCAAGGATAGCTTGCTAGATATGAGGAGATTAAACAGCTGGAGTTGCTATCAGAATCACAGAATTATTTAGATTGAAAAAATACTCTTGAGATCATCAAATCCAGTCTTGCCTGATGACCAATCACCACCTTGTCAACCAGACCCTGGCACTGAGTGCCACATCCAGTCTTTCCTTAAACACCTCCAGGGACAGTGACTCAGCACCTCTCTGGGCACCCCATTCCAATGTTTAATCACCCCTTCTGTGAAGAAATTCCTCCTGATGTCCAAAAATTCCTTGTAGTGTCCAATTCCATGTAGATGAATTGTACTGCTGCAAAGAATTAATTAATTGTTTGAATTAATCTGTGACATAGCAGTATCTTGTATATATGGAATACTTGTGCATTGAATTGCTATTTAATTCTAGGAAGTACTCATGCTTTTTCTGAGACTGAAGTTAATTCCCAAATAGTTCATTCTGTGAGGGATTGTAATGTGGTAGGTATTTATTACCCCCATTGTCATTTATGCCAATCAAATTTTAACAACACCACAGTGCAGTATCAGGATAAAATGTGTTTATGTGTTCCACAAAATAATAATCAGGATTAGTAGTACAGGCACCCTGGGTAGGTATTGGTCACTGTGGCTTTAATGGGAAAATACTGATTTTTTACCTCTGTATTTTGCATTCCAAGAGCTTTGCAGACACCCAGTTGTGCAGGTCCATCAGTGTCCCATCTCTGTGCACAGCCCTGAGCAGTTTCCCCTGTGTTGCAGGTGTTTTGTGCTGCGTGCTGTAGCCTGAAGTGCAAGCTGCTGTACATGGACCGAAAGGAGGCCCGAGTGTGTGTGATCTGCCACTCAGTGCTGATGAACGGTGAGTGGGCAGGCAATCCACATGTGGCACCTCACTGGCTTTGTGTGAAGCTGCAGTGAGAGCTTTTGAAAAGAAAAATATCAGAATACTTCATTTGTATGGGTAAGTATTCTAAAACAGTAAAGGTGCTTGAGAGGCTGGCGTGGAATCCCTGTGGACAGTAGGAAAACTGGTAAGGTTGCAGTGAGTTTGAAAGCTTTCATTTGGGAGTTTTGCAAAAACTGTGACTTTGGGGTTGATTCAGAAGTGTACTCTGTATCCTTTGTTGCCTGAGTAGATAACCTGCTACACATTTAGATGGAATGCCAAAGAGTAGAGTAATGCAGTTGTGCCTGTTCTAGATCATACACTATAGGAGATTGGGAAAGTAGTATTTACCCACAAGTTAATCCAGCTCCTCTTCTTAACTCCTTGGTGCTAGAGTAGGAGATCCTGTCTAAATACAGCTCCCCAAATGTGGACAGCTGAGCTTAGATGGTTACATTCACACATTCCAGGAGAGTGTCAAGCCCAGGGGAGTGCTGTGTCTGAAAGCCTGGTGAGAGCATGGGACACAGGAGAGAGGTCACAAGTAGTTCTGAAGTTCACATGTAGAACTGGTAGGAATTCTATCACCTCTGCTTGGTGTAAGGAAAAACTCTGCTTTTGACCAGCAGGCTGTGGAGTGTATTTTGTGTGTGGTTCTTTACTGTACTGACACTTCAGAGCTGTGCTATAAATATGGGCAAACACAGAGCACTCTCTTGAGGCCTGTGAAAATCTCCAGAACTTCCCACACTGGCGGTTACCTCTGGGGATGATCTGCCCAGCTGAGTTATGTCCATGACACTGAGACAGCTGCTGCTGGAAGACTCAATGTTCAGTTCTTCTGTCTTGAATTGGGAAGGCAGAGAAATTGGATTAGGTTGAGAGAGGACCCATGTGGGTGCTGAATTCATGAGATAACCTGTCTCATCCTGAGAAATTCCAGGCATTTTGGCATATTAGTGCCAAATTAGTGGGAAAGTGAATGGGTGTCCTGGTCCTGGGGTATAAATATATGTCTGGATCACTGAAACTTGATGCCAGAAGTGAATTCAGTGGTAGAGAAAGGTCTGAGAGGTGCATTCTAACATGTAAAAAGTAGAATGAGAAGTCAGAGAAATTCAGACTCTAAATGCAAACTCTTAACTGTTAGGATTACTGTTCAGTAATTATCAGGATGGTTTATTATGGAATATCCATTGCTGCAATTGTTTAGCTAAACTTTGGAGACTTTTAGCAGAGATTCTAACCAAGAATTAGTTAGGAAAATTGTGGTTTGTGTCAGCATCACAGAAAGCAATTTTGGCATTATCTTTACATATTACTGCATAGTGGATTATTTGGGCTGTTTTCAGAAAGATCTCTTACTTTGTTGTTTGAACATCTAAACTAAACTTAAGGTCACAGCTTTATTTTTTCTCCAAAGAAGTTGAGTATTGGTTCAGGTTTGGTTGAAAGTAACTGAGTGTTTAGTCTTGAGATGAGAATATAAAAGTAGACAGTCTCTGTTATTAAACAGGAATATAATTTTCTCAGAAGAAAATTCAAAAAGATGAAATGCTTCAAAAATATTAAACATTAATTGCTGTGCAGTGGTAGGTTTTAATTATTAATAATTCTTTACTCTAGGCCAAATGTGTAAGGTGACAGAAAATTGTAGGGTATAATATCTAGAAATTAAAAACTAGTCCCAGTAATGATGCTGAAGAGGTTCTAAACTGTTACATTTTGGGATGGAGAAATGAACACATTTCAAGGTGTACAAGAACAAGGAATTACAAATACACTTAGCAAAAGACAGCTGGCTCTGTCCCGGTGAGTAGGATTAATTTTCGTTTGGGGGAAGGGAAGAATCTGTAAATATTTTGTTGATGCCAAAGTGTTGTTTTAAAAAGACATAATAAAACTGATCCTATTATACTGATTTCATTTGAAGGCCTCTCTGTCCTGTTGCCAGGGCAGATGCACATTAATGGCAGCAAACAGTGCCACCAGTGCCTGGTTCCTTCCAGGCCAGTGCTGTGCTTGCCCCGTCTCCCTCTGTTCCTGTCCCTGCTGCAGTGCTTTGTGGTGGTGCTTTGGGTTGGTTCACCTGCAGCCTGATTGCATCCCACCCCTCCTGATCCCTCCAGGTTCTTTGTCAGTGCAGCTTTTGGGGCTTTTGTCCCTGGCAGTGCAGCAGGTTAAGCATTAATCTTTGCACAGTCCTGGAAGCAGGGGTAGGAACTATAAAAGCAGTTATTATTTCACTTGATTGCTCAGAACCTGGTTTGTGTTTGACTGGGGTGTGAGGGGAGGGTTGTGTGTTTTCTGGCACGTTTCCATGGCCAGGCTATGTGTTTCATCAGTTTCAATGCTATTTTTAGTGTATTTTCAGTTGGTAGATGTGCTGACTCGGCACTTTGCTCCATTTAAAGAAGACTTTAAGAATGCTCTTTTACTTTTCTGATAAAGGAGCCCTGGACGTGTAACTTTGTGCATTTTTAATACTTTCTTCTTTCAGGACTTTTACTATAACTGGTACAGAATTGCTGTTTAAAAAGTGCTTTGGTTCAAGTAATTTTCTCAACTGGAATGCCAATACCTTTTTCATTGACAGGCATTTCACTATTGGTTTTGCAGGTTGATGGGGGAAGCAGGAGGGTTTATGTTCTGTTGAGTTCTGTTTGGCCTTTTTTTGATCTTGTTATTTCCACGTTGGTTTTCTAACAATTTGCAACTGAAGGAACCCAGGGATGTACATGCCCTGAGAGCTTAGGTGCCATGATATTTATGCCTGACTCAAAGAATGCATTTATTTGTAACACAGTGATATGATTGTGGGTGGAAACACACACATGAATTTTCTGGCATCTTGCTACAAGCCTCCCTTAGAGGTGAAAAAGAAGTAGCACTGTGGAAATAGTCTGGTTTACTCACCAGAGATTTTCCTATGATATTGTTGACAAAGATTATTTATGTGTTATTTTTTGGCCAGTGATAGTCTGGTTTACTCACCAGAGGAGATTTTCCTATGATAGATATTGTTGACAAAGATTATTTATGTGTTATTTTTTGGCCAGTTTGGCCAATTGAATTAAGATTCAAGTCATGTCTTCCAAATTAATAGCGTAAGGTTTTTTTTACAGTTAAGAGTAAAAGTTGCTGATTTGTACACAACTGCCCTGGACACAAAGAAATGCAGGGTGCTTTTTATTATAAATGAAAGCTAAATCTGTTAGAGTATTTTTTGGGTTATGAAAGATTTGTAGTAAAAATGTCTATGTCTTCATGCACTGTGATGTATTAAATATATATATGTACACACTGACTGTTTACAATTAAATCTTTGAAGAAGAAAGAAAATTAAGCATGAGGAACTAAGCATCACTCAAATCAAAGTGTATTTTAACCCTTTTCAGAAAATACTTCTCTATGGGCCGATATTTTTATTGCACAGGGCCAGTGCAGTTTCTCTTTGTGCTTTTCATGCTTAATTGCAGTCTCCTGGGCTGTTACATGGAGGGAATGGTCTTTGGGAGGTGGCAGGGTCCATACTGACAGCTGAGAACTTAACACAGTGCTTTGGACTGTTGGATACCTTCCTCTGTGTTCATGGCTCTTGTTCTTTGTTTGCTTTAGCTCAAGCCTGGGAGAACATGATGAGTGCCTCAAGCCAGAGCCCTAACCCTAACAATCCTGCTGAATACTGTTCTACTATCCCTCCTTTGCAGCAGGCTCAGGCCTCGGGCGCCCTGAGCTCCCCGCCTCCCACTGTCATGGTACCTGTGGGAGTTCTGAAGCATCCTGGAGCAGAAGGTGAGAACATTTCCTTTTTCTTTTAGTTTACCTGTAGCAAGCATTTGGAAAGAATAGCTGCATTTCATCCATTCCAAATAATGGCTAATGCAGTGAGCTATTCCTGCCCTCAGCAGGGACATCAGGTTTTTCAGGACATGTAAACTGTTCTCAGTGGTTGTGTCTGTACATGATGCTGCCATAGGGAATGCACTAGGTGATGTCTTAAGTTCCTTCCAGTCCACATTTTATATTTTTTTTTTTCCATTTTGCTGTTTTATACTCAGATTTTCCAGTTTCCTAGCCAGTGTTGCTGTGAGATGTTAAATGCTGGTTTTTTACATTCTCTCCAGTGGCTCAGCCTAGAGAACAAAGGCGTGTTTGGTTTGCTGATGGGATTTTACCCAATGGAGAAGTTGCCGATGCAGCAAAGCTGACAGTGGCTGGGACAACTTCCACGGGAACCTTAGCAGTGTCTCATGATCCATCAAAGCCCATGGCCAACAACACTTCATCAGCAGAAGTAAGGCAGTGTTTGGTGTTCAAAATCCTGTGTTTGCCTTGGTTGTGAGAGGTCTGTGAGTTGCTGTGGTGACTGCAGTAAGACTGATGCAGGAAATCTGCTCAGGCTTGTCTTAATATGTTGCACAGCAAGTGTTGTTCTTACTTGAATGTTTGCAGAGTGCTGAAACAACCATATCTTTTTAAATGAAATGAAGAGTTTTGGGGCAAAGCATTGAGAATGTTTGTTGTCTTTGTGGCTTCCAGCTATTTGGAAATACAGCTGGTGTGTGAAGGATATTTGTGTAACACATGCTTTAAAAAAGGTGAGTCATGGTCAGTAAGGAGTTAGAAACAATAAGAATATCATAGTGTGGATCAGAAGAATATTCTGTCACAAAATTATGTATGCAGGAAAGTGCAGATAAAGTTAACAATAAGTCCACCATACCTCATGTAAGTGGAATTGAGACTCTGCAAAAAGTTCAAGTGGGCATAGATGCATTAAGATTTTGTGAATAAATGGGTATGTATGATGTTAGAGAAGGGAGGTGCAGGCTCTGAGCAGATTTTCTAGCAATAGTTCACATACAGAAGTCATCACATGATCATCTCTTGTTACAGAGCCAAATTACTTGGTGCTTCTGTTTCTCCAGCAGACACAGACTCCTTCACCTACATCTATAATAATTTAGCCAGCCAGCTCTTACATTTTTATCATTATTACTGTTTTAATGTTGTCCTTCCTTGTTTGCTTCTTGTAGACTGATAATGCCTCTGTATTCTCGGGAAATATAACTCAGGTTGGCAGTCCTGTTGGCAGTGCAATGAATCTGATTCCTGAAGATGGTCTTCCTCCAATTCTCATCTCCACTGGAGTAAAAGGAGGTGAGGGTATAATTTGGCAGCCAGCTTTTATACTTACCAGATGCAATAACCTACTGGCTACTATGTTTGTTTTAAAAATAAGATGCTGGCAGTGTGCTGAGTATTGGAAAGAATTCTCAGTGAGCACTCGTGGGTAAAAGTTGGGCCACTCCTTTGCACAATTGGTCCCTATTTGCATCCAGGAAGAGCCCCACCTTGCAATGAAATTCCAGTAACAAGTAAAACATGAAGCTAAAAATTAACTGCAGTCCAGAAACATGTGCTAATTTCTTTACTAATCGGACTGTGGGGAATGTTTCAAACAGAGTTAGGTTTTAATTAACCTTTTGAATATTCATGCTTCCCTTCTCTGAAATTCTGTTGGAACATGGGCTCTGTCTGAGGCATCCCCAAGCACTGCATTCAACAACACTATTGTACATCATGGCCCACAGTGCAGCTTTTAGTCATTGTGATATCCCTATATAAAGGATCCAAATTGAGGAGGCTTCAGAAAATTAAAAACTAATTTTGAAAATATTAGAAAATGTGTATTTGTTTATGTAAAATTGCTTTCCACAGTCTGATTCATGACATCCTTTAATATATCCCTGGAATGAACTTATTTTCTCTGGTTGTTTTGTTCCTATTAGATATTTTGCTGACACGGTGCATTTCTGATGTTAAGTTGGAAGTAACCTTTTATTTCAGGATAGTGTCAAAACCAAAATGTGAGCAGCATTTAATTTCAGATCTGTTCCATCCTGTGTTAGCTGTTTATGGTCATCCAGGAGCGATGCCCTTCAGCCTTACTATGACTTAAATAACAATTCTTGACTTCTTAGTCATTTGGGATTTCAGTTGACATTGTGACACATTTTTCAATTTGATTTCAATTTTCTCCTCTGGTTGATACTGAAAAATAGTTATTTTTCTGAAACAAGGTGCACCTTTGTAAAGGATGTACAGAGGCTATCTCATAAATTCTGTTGAAGTTTGAAAATACCAGTCCAGGAAACAATCACTTAAACCAGCAATACTTAAATAAGTTTTTGTCTAAAAGGTCAAAATAAAAAGAATTGGAATTGGGGTTAACTGATTATAATGTAGAGTCCATACCAGTAATTTATGGATTTCATTGTGTTTGTTTCTTTTGTAGACTATGCTGTGGAAGAGAGACCTTCTCAGATCTCTGTCATGCAGCAGCTGGAGGATGGTGGCCCTGACCCTCTAGTATTTGTTTTAAATGCTAATTTGCTGTCCATGGTAAAAATAGTAAATTGTAAGTGTTTATTATTAAATAAATCTTAGTCTATGAGTAGAGGAATGTTATCTAGATTATTAGTAGGAACAGCAGCATTTTTATTTGGTAGGAGAGTCTCAGAAAAAGTGTACAGGTTGAAAACTTTGTATTGAGCCATATTAAGTTAAATGTCAAAATGCCCTTTTCTGGTGATTTAGGTACCAGTACAGATAATTTTACGTAGAAAATAGAAATTGTTCTGATGGAGCCTCCAGTCTCAGGTTTGGAGATCAATATCCCCTGTAGAGCTTAGCAGAGCAGGGTATTTTATCACCCATTTTTCTTTGGTTGCTTCACATATTCTCCTGTCATCCCATTCTGGAAAAAAGCAGGGATCCCATAACAATGCAGAGGTTCCACTCCCCTGTGCACCTCTTCTGTCCCTTTCTGTCCTGTGCCTGTGTGCACCTGTGCTGAGGGAGGAGTGGGGAGGCATATGGATGCCTATCTCATTCCAGTTCCTCTGCAGTGGATCTCTGTTGGATAGAAACACACTGGAGAAAATGGGAAGGACAGTTTTGTGTTAATAAATTGTTTATAAACCTTTCAGCATCTCTTGGATTGCAGTACAATGTTTTGCATATGTATAAAAAGATAATATATTATAGACATATATTGAGGTTTTATTTCAACTACTTAGTATTCTCAAGAGATGAAGCTCAGAGCATGTATCATTACTAACATCCCTGTGAAGCAGAACAACATGGTGAGGTCTCATGGAGACACCTGACATCCAGCTCTCCATATTAAGGAAGATATCACTGCTGGAAACTGTTTTATCTGTCAGGATCATGGTACACACAGCCAACAGCCTGGCCTGTTCCCAGGCTCCTTCAGTCACATTTAAATCCTGTCCTTTCATTTGAATACACAAACTGCTAAAAGTCTGCTCTGTGGTGTTAATCCCAAGATCTGACTAGGAGCTGTAGTACTCTGGCTCTTCCTTAGCTGTAAACTGGGAATTACTGAGCTGCTCTTGTTTGGGATGTGCTTGCCCTCACGGTAACAGATGTAGGACGTAATTTGTCTGTGTGACAGATGACACAACAATACGTGCTGTAAAACTGCTCCTTGCAAGAGCTGTCTTCCTGCAGTGAAATTTAGGCATCCTTTTTGCAATTCTGCCCTGCTGATCCGTGTTTCCATCCGTGCAGATGTGAACAGGAAGTGCTGGTGTTTCACCACGAAGGGCATGCACGCCGTGGGGCAGTCGGAGATCGTCATTCTGCTGCAGTGCTTGCCTGATGAGAAATGTTTGCCTAAGGATATCTTTAACCATTTTGTGCAACTTTACCGGGATGCCTTAGCAGGTAGGAATGCTCTCTTGTTAAAAATCATACGGAGACAGATACATTTTTGTCATAGTGAATGGCTCTTTTTGGAAAAAAAAATATATAAAAGGAGAATAAAGATCAAAGCTGATAAGGGGATGAGTTGTTGGTTGTCAGTATTCAGTGTTCTCATCCCACCAGATAAAATCCTGCTAACCTGGAGAGCTGCTCCAAAATCTTCCAGCCAGAAAGAAAATGGTGAGGATTCTTGTGGATAATATGTTCAATATCTCCTGACCAGGTAGTTCAGGAGTTTGATTCTCATACTGCCTGTGTCTCTTAATACATTATGGAGATGCTATTTATATTTTAAAATAATAAATGTGTATGTGTGCCCAGAATGAACTGTAGAGCATTTCAGAAATTATCCCTGAACGTCTGTGTCTGTTAATACATTATGGAGATTTTTTTATAAATCATTGCACATTTTACATTTACTAAGTAAATAGGCTTCCACTTCTAGGTATTATTGTTGGACCTTAGAATTCAAAAGTCCTTGAAGAAGGAAATATGCAAGTATTTGGTTCCACTCATCAGAAGATAAAGGTTGTTTTCCAGAAGTGAAATTGGATCACGTTAAGGTTATATGCTGAAAATACATTTACAAGAGGTTCTGCTTATCATTCGTAATGCCTTTGGAGTGATTGAATCCAGTACTTTAATAAAATAATGAAAGATATTTGTTTCCTAAAATATCTTTGTACAATAAAGGTCAGCTTGTCCAGAGAGGTTGCCAGGTTCAGAATGTATTATTATCTCATGTCATAATGGATCTTGTGTGCATGGCAAACAAGTACTGTTCGAAACCTCAATACATTTTCTTTGTCTTATAATGATGTTATTCAGAGGGAGATAGATGGGAAAAATGGCAAGCATGTGCATATAAATGTGTATATATGTATATTGCAGATATAAATCCAGCTTGGTGTGTATATTGCTATGAAGTTCTGTATAATTACACTACAGAAATACATAATTTATAACTCCTACATAATGTATTTGGAATTCTTTTTTAGTACTGTAGTGGTAGTAATTTGATATCCTGCAATTCCACTGGTTCTAAGAGCTGCTTACTATTGTACAGTTCTTAATCAGAAACCGAACGTCGCTGTTGAAGAATTCCACTGTGTGTTTTCTTTCCGTAGGATCTGCTGTGTGTTGTGTTTCAGACATGAAGGATGAGTAGACAGACACCTTCAGTTACTGTATAATGCCTGCAGGTTTTGTAGATAGTGCACCTTGATGAATTCCCAAAGCACTTGGGAATGCTCTTTCAACATCCATCCTTTTTTTCTTTCCGAGGCACGCGTTGAGAGGCAGAAGGATCTGTTGGCATATTTGTAACTTGGCTGCTTTAAACATTATTCAGGCAGAGAGGAGGTGATGCTGTAGGGGTTTCAGTTTGGTGACTGTAATCCCTTGGAAGTGGTTAGCAGTTCTGCTCTTGTAGGTGGAGCCGTGCTTTCCAAGCTGTTCATTTCAGAGGTACTGCACCTCTCCTGGCAATGAGATGATTTAGACATTTAGAGCAAACAAGAATTCCCAGTAGAATTTAGAGACTGTTTAACAGCCTGCCTCACCATTTCATTTTTTTATTATATAATATATTGGCTTAAATATATTCTGTATCAGGAAACTGAAATAAATTCTGTGGATGTTTTTTATTTATTTCCTTTAGTATAAGTTTTCTTAAAAACAGTAAATAAAATAAAAAGGCACATACAGTACTTTTTATTGGAATAGAAACAAGAATTGCTTTTAATGTTGTTGATATTGCTTTGAAGTGATTTTAGATTTCTTGGTCTTGTTTTCAGTGGGAAAACACAGCATCCCTTTTTGTTTGTTGGATTAAAGCCCAATCCATAGCAAATGATTTCTTCATGAGTCACATGAATTTACGAGCTCAAATTCTGTGCTCAAGCCTAGAAGCACAAAGTACTTGTATGTACTCGTGCCTCTTCCCAGATGTTTCCACTTTCCTGAAGGGATAACTTGTTCTGGAGGCAGAGTCCTGCCCTCTGTGCTGGGTGTTGTTTGCAGGCTGGCTCTGGTAGGATGGCAGCAGGGAGATTTTGAAGGAAAAAATGATATTTTTCACTGTAAACTGTATGCATGTGAGTTATAAAAAAATAAAGTCATTCAAGGCAAGTATTTATTGCCGCTCACTTTTCATCGCTTTATTTTTCCTCTGGCCCCTCTGTCATCAAGCTCCATGCTGTGTTGCTTTTCTTGTTTTGAAATTGGAATCTAATGATTTCTGTTGTGGTTGTAGTAGTTGCACTGCTGTAGTAGTAATCCCATGATTATCTTTGTCTGTTGGCTATAAGCCTGGCAGTGAATGGGAAAATGAGGACTTCTGTCTGTCTGAATGGGTACTTTGAGGCAGTTGGATGTGTTAATGTAGTGCTGCCAGAGATGCCCAGTGCATCAGCTCTGTGCTGGAAGACAATAAAAGCTACTGTTACTTTTGTAGTGGAAATGTAAATCTGGCAACTGCCTGAAATGGCTTTGTGGTCACCCTGGTTTTTGGGGATATTCCTTGTGAGGGTGGGTCTATCCCAGACACAGTTTATGCTTTTTTTACCCGGTGTGGTTTTAATTAAATATGGTGGTAGTTAATAGCAGATCTGTGAAGAAGCCCTTGTAGTTGTTCTGAACAGAGAACAGGTTAACCAGTTGGTCTGTGGAAAGGTGGAGACAAAATCAAACTTGGTATGAGGTGAGTGAGTGATGTTAGGAGGACTGCCACAGAGCAGCCTGAGAAAGTTTTGGATGCTGGCAGCTGCTGCTCTCTCTGGTAGTAAGTGAAGCATTATGGCCCTTGGCAATAGGAGTAAGTTCTTTCCAAATTGCTTTCTGATGTGTTTCAATAAAGAGATGCTGACCATGGCCAGAAATTTGAATGTGGAGCTGATATGGAAGTTTTTCTTAGTGTTGGCATCTGCTACAGATGTGTTGGGGGCAACAAGGTGCATTCATGGTCTTGGCTCTTCTGTGGCTCTTAGTGGCTCTTGGAGTGATGGGGTTTGTGTTCCTTTTCCAAAGGAAATGTGCTCATTTGCTCTTGAAGAAAATCCATCTGGCAAGATTGTTCACAGCTGAATTTTGCTTTGCAATTCCTGCTGCAGGACTGGGGTGCTGGGGTTTTCAGGAGGCCAGCAGAGTTTGGTACATGGCAGTTCCTGGCTCTTCTGGATGGATTTCCCCAAGCCACAAATAAATGCCTTGCCTGAGTCTGGATGCCATTACCTTTTTTGACCTGGAATTAACCAAAAGATAGGAAGCATGCATTAAGAATTTAACCTCAGTATTTTTTGATAAAAGTACCTAACTGGCTTCACTACTTATTGAGGGCAATAAAAAATGCAGGAATCTTTTTTTTTTTTTCTCATCTACCTTTCCTGGTATAGACTGTTTTGAGGCCAGAAGGGATTGCCACACTGCTGTACAAAGCACATTGTTCATCATGGAAAGATATCTAATTGAAGAATTAAAAAAACTATGGATAAAAGCACCTTTTTTTTCTGGACAACTTTGCAGGGATGCTTAAGATTTAAAGTCAAGGATAACCCACTATAATTGAAAAGAGAATAAGTACTGACCTCCTGCAGAACTACTTTAGATGCATCATGCACACTTAAAGCACTTCCTAAATAATGTCAGGTGCTGGAACTTAATATATGGAAGGGCACCTTTCTGCTCACTCTGAGATTGCCTCATTAGAAAGGAAGTTGTGATATGTTTTAAATTAAATTACATGCTTTTGCAAAGGATAGTTATTTTTGAAGGTTTTTCTGACGCCTACACTTTCTCTACAAGCCTCTGAAACAGTTCTGTGCTTAAAATGTGTAATGGTGCAGTGGGTTTGGTTTGACACTGTCAGGCTGGGAATAGTAACTGCTCAGTGGGGCCTTGGCTTGGAATCACCTTCAGAGACAGTGCAGGAAGGACTGACAGCCCCTGGTCAGGGCAGAAATGTTTGAGGGACAAGCCCAAAGAGGCTCTTTGACTTGGTTGTGCTGACTGAAAAGGGCACTAAAGAAGGGTGTAGGAAAACACTTGCTTCTTCCCATGCTGTCCACATCCAGGCTCTTAAGCTGTTATAAATAATGAATTGCAGCACAGCTACCTAATCCCAGTAATTTGTCCTCTTGAAGTGGTGGCAGCCTCTTGGATCTTGCACTGTGCAAGCTGCTTGTGTCAGAAGGAGTAATTTATGATGCTGTGGCTTATGGAAGGAAAGGGCTGAACAGCTGAGTTGCAGATTCAACTCTGAGGGTTCTTTCCACGTTTCCGTTGGCTGAAAAAATATTATTAAGGCATCCCAGGCATGTGAGCCTTGAGGCTCCATCTCCTGAAACAGAAAAAATAAGTAGTCATCCCCTTCTGCTGCAGCACTTGGCACCAGTCTCAAGTGGAAATGTCTGGTTGCTTTGTCATTCCAGTGGGCAGTGCCACACGTCTCAGATCCCTACGGGGTTGTGCCAGCTGCACTTTGCCTGGCCTCTCTCACACAGAAAATACACAGAAAAGGGGGCAGAACTCAGTGCAGTTTGGCAGTTCATACACGTCATACACTTGAAGGGTAAAAAGGATTATTGTGATCATGTTGTTGGAACTGAGAACCTCACCAAGTAACTTTATTATCAGGCCTGTAGCTCTATTTGGGTAAGAACAGATGGGAAGGGGAAAAGGAAGTATAAATGAAGAAGAGGCGATTAGTGAGGGTAGGTGGAAACTGCAAAAGCAAACGAGTGCCAGCAGCTATTTTAGATGAGTGAAAATCTTTCTCATGAACACCAGTGGATACACTGGTTTGCACTCACTAGCAGGATGCCCACGTTGGTGCATTGGTGTTTCACTGAGCAGGCATTGGTGTCCCAGGACAGCTGACAGAGCTGCACTTGCACACGGGCAGGAGCAGGGATTCTCAGCAGCTGACATTTGATGAGGCTCTGTTACTCATGGTACTTTGACCAGTAGCTACTTTTCATCAAGTATGCTCAGCTGAGAAGTTGTAGCCACTCTGAGAGTTCTGAAGTTTGATTTGGGTGATCATGCCAGCTTTGGCCTGTGTGTATCTGTAAAATTACAGGTTGGCTTTGCAGGACAGTGGCAAACTCTGAATGAGCATCACCCTGCTATGGATGCTGGGCTGCCAAAGCTGTCACCTTCTAACAGGGAACCTAATAACTTATTGTGTGCAGCATTTGTGAGTACAGAAAAAAAAATCCACAAAGGGGCGTGAAATTTGAAAAATAAGGAACTCCTTGAGCTTATTTGTTAGTTGGAGTGTAAAAGGAGCCTTTTGCTTACAGACCTGACAGTCACTTTATGTAAAGCTGAAGGACCTAAGGTAATGTGAAGGACGGTATTGAGTGATGATTGTGCCAGGGTGGTCTGGAGAGGTGCAAAGCAGCATGGCCACATCTCCAGAGGGAGGGCTGCAATAGCTGTGTTATTATAACTTGTATTACTGTGGATGTCAGAGTATCACTTTTGTGACTCATATTTTTACTTACTTAAAGCCTGGCTTTTGTCTGTGTGTGTATCATGTCTGTAAAAGAAAGAAACTCTCCAGGTGGTGTCCAGTGGATGTGCAGATGGAGATGTGCACATCACCGCCTTGAGTTCAGATACAAACACTCTGTTATGAGGTGGTGAAGGAGCAGAAACTCCTACTTAGCAGTCTGTCTGCAGGTGGGAAAGTCTGGGATTGCTCCAGAAGCCCAGGAGGTCTGCATGAGTACCTCAATCCCATGCAGTTCCTCATGAGTGGTGTGATCAAGCACATCACGTTCTCTGAAATTGTCTTTTTCTTTGAGAGCAAATCAGCACTGTTAATATTCACATCTTCCTATGGAGAATTGTGATCAGCTGTTCTGTACATTATTTGCATGCTGTTGTTGTCATTTGATAAAAGGAATCACGCCATGGTTCTTTGCTTCTGTGTTAAATGCTGTGTTGGATGCTATAATAACCTAATCAACATTCAGATTCATTCAGCCATTTAAGTGTAAACATTTTTGGAAATCAGAAGCATCAAAGAGTAGAAATATGAATAAAAATTAGTAGTGTTTCTCCCCTGTGTCTCTCAGTTGCGTTTTACATTAAGTGTACTAATGAAATAAACAGTCTTTTGTGTAATTCTTGAAATGACCCAGATCTTCAGTACATGTCTGAGCAGGTACCCTGAGCATTTAGGCAGGTTTGCCTAAATGGAAGGACAACCAGGGGACACTAATTGTTTGTCCAGGTGCACATCCCTCCTTGAACTTCAGCTGAGTCCAAAAGTTCAGTTCAAACAACAGCAGCTTCTGCAGTGGAAGTCCCTTGAATATCTGTAAGGCACTAAAAAAAGGCTTTGTGTCTGTAGTGCCAGGGGGAGGTTTCAGGTGCCACCTTAGCAGCAGTACTGGCCTGAACTCTGCTGTGGTATCCTGAAAGGGCAGTAACAGCCTGGCACAGGCTGCCCAGAGCAGCTGTGGCTGCCCCATCCCTGGAAGTGTCCAAGGCCAGGTTGGGGCACTTTTGCACAGGAGGTGACCTGAGCACCTGTGTGCAGCAAATCATTGTTTCAGATGTGGTTCATACACATTAATGCTCCAGGAAGAAAAGTGAATTTAACATGGATTTTTTTCCCTTCTGAAAAACTCCTGACATTCTTGATCCAGCTCTCAATCCAGTGAAGTAATGAACTCTTTTTTTTTTCCCCCATAGGTAACATTGTTGGCAACCTGGGACACTCCTTTTTCAGCCAGAGCTTCCTTGGAAGCAAAGAACACGGAGGGTTCTTGTACGTTGCAGCGACCTATCAGTCCCTGCAGGACCTGGTGCTCCCAACCCCACCCTACTTGTTTGGCATCCTCATCCAGAAGTGGGAGACTCCCTGGGCCAAAGTGTTCCCCATCCGGCTGATGCTGAGACTGGGAGCTGAGTACAGGCGTGAGTAACTTCTGCAGGGGAATGGGTGAATTCTGCTGCACAGCACTGCCCCAGCCATGGACTGGCACCTGTCAGAGCCACCCAGGCTCAAACAGGCAAGGGAGAGCTGTGGCAGGCCCACAGTGCAGCACTGAGATGGTGATGGGGCCTCTTTACAACTCTGCTGGGTCGTCAGGGAGGTTTTTGTGGAGACAAATGTAGTTCTGAGCATATTTGTATCCAGTTAGTGACATGAGAGTGATGTGCAGAACAAGTCTGATTAGCTGGTGTAGATGGCACAAGGGAGAGCTTTGAGTTGTTAAGCTTTTTCCATGCTGAAATGAAAGACCATTTACTTTTAAATTTTTAAAATTGTATTTATTTTCCAGAGAGTAGCAACATGTGTGCAGGGGCAACAAACTTGGCAGTTTGTTGCAAAAATTCTGTTGGAACTAATATTAAAGTGGCTGGAGGGAATGTTTCATCTGAACAAAATCTTAGCAGTTAGCATAAAATTGGCATAAAGTTAAGATAAAATAATTTTCAAAAGACATTTACCATTGCTGGAGCAAAGACATTACTGGCAGTTTGTCCACCATGATGGGCCAAAAATTGTATGTCTTACTCATCTTCAGTTTTAATTGGCATGTCTCATTAATCTAAATTACTATGAAAATGGTCTGTTGCTAATTTTTCCCAGAACTCCTTCAGAACATTTTAACAAAGTAAGTTTTATAATAAGCTGTGCAGAGATTTGTCACTTTAACTTTTAAAGTTTTGAGAACATTGGGAATTTTCCACAAAATACATGTGTTTATGGAGGAGAAAAATAAAATCCTCAAAGTTTGCCTTCTGAGGACGAGGACTGAAGGTTAAACTTGTCAAAGGAAACATTCATGTTAAAGGTGTATAGGTTTTTGTGTGTATCTGCAGGCATTTTTAAAGTAGTGCATTATTCCCATCAGTATTTAGAAAAACAAACAAAAATGCTCATATTTTGGATGAGACATCTGTTTCTGAGCACAGAAAGAAGTGTTTTAATAGTGACAAGGAAGAGTACCTGGGAAGCCAGGCTTTGCATCATTCCCACAGCTGAGGTTTGGCTTTAGAGATGTTCCCTTGAGCTGTGCCAGTTGTGACTGCAGGGCACTGCCTCAGTTTCTTCCTGGAAGGAGCTGCTTTTGTGGCCCAGGTTTCCTTCCATCCTGCTTGCTGGTGGAGCTGTCAGAAGCCAGCCCTTTGTGCAGTGCTGCTGGCTGTGCAGATCAGATGCGGGAGGCCCTGGGGTTGCTGGGTGTGCAGGAAACATCGGCTGAGCATCCACAGATCAGCCCAGCAGCTCAGGCTCAGGGAATTCGGAGCTACTGGGGTGGAGCTGAGCTGCTGCTTGAAACCAGGGTGGGGTGGCAGACACAGGAAATTCAGCCCTTGCTGGTGCCTCAGGGCACTGGGCAGGGGTTGGTTGCCATGTGGTGTGTGGTGCTTCCAGGCTCAAATCAGTGTGCAGAGGCTGGAGCGATTCCCATCAGGAAATCCTCATGTTATTCACATGATGCTGAGGGCTCTGCAGCCCCTTCTGACCACACTGGGAACTGGCAGTGTGGCGTTTGGGGAAATCAGGCTGAGTGTTTGCCTGAGGATAGCTTAGGAATCCTCCTTCAAACATGTGTTTAGGAAACCTTGGCATTATGTACCAGTGCATGAGTCATGTTCCAAGCATTGTGATGGCTTCTGCTGCAACATAACGTAATGCAGCCAGATCCATGCCCTGCACTCAGAATTGCATCACAGATATTTTACAGGTATGGATGTCAGCCAAGGAATGCAGATATTTTACATCACTGACATACCATAAATGTCCTTTAAATTGTTTTTGATGTCCCCTATGGAGTTTGCCACACTCCCATGAAATAATGAAAACAGGAAATAAAAATAATCTGGGTTATCACATGAATGTCACGTGTCAGCCACAGAACTGAAAGACTGATGGTGCTGTAGTGGAGAACAGCAGGATGGTTGTGCAAAAATAGAAGCCATTTCCAAGAAGCACTTAGAAAGGTCATCTTTGCCATCAGGACCCAGGTCGTCAGTTCAGTCCTGCAGCGTGGCACCTGCAAGCTTTCCACATAATTATTCTTGTTTCTGGCATGGTGGGCAAGCAGCCATGACACATGTGAGGTCATTATAATGTTGAACCTGTTCTGCCCTTTTGCTTTTTAAATTCCAGTCTTCCCACTCTCTTCTTTAGCTGCTGCTTACCACATTCAACCGAGGAGATGATATTTGGGTCTGGTTTTGCACAATCTGGGTATGTACATTTCTACCTGACCTGTTCTTTTCTGTTTCATTCCAGTTTATCCATGCCCACTTTTTAGTGTCAGATTCCGTAAGCCTTTGTTTGGAGAGACTGGACACACGATCATGAACCTCCTTGCAGTAAGTCTGTGATGGAATTTGTGCATTCCCTTGGTGTGAGTGGATCTGTGTGGGGAGATGGGGGCTCCAGGTGCACGTAGCAGCTGGAAGGTTCAGGAGATGCAAGAGGAAGTAGTGGGGATTTGGGTGAATTTCCCTGCTGTTACTGAGAGTGGTGTTGGCTTTCAACAACACAGTGAATTGTAACAGGGTACCCAAATCAATATCCCAAACCTGTTTGCTGGAGGATGTTTGGATTTTGAAATAAGTGCATTGTTTGCTCAGACTGCTTCCTCAGAAGTGCTGGGTCATCACAGTGTGCAGTCACAGCTCTGTGATTACATCGTGCTCTGACTGAAGGGATGTTATTATCTCTTCCTGGGTTGCAAATATTTTCAATATAGGAAATTCTCTTCGATCTATGACTTAATGTCACTGCTAGAAAAACTAATAACTCCATCTAGTAATGTAACAGAACACAGAGGAAACTTTCTTATATACAGTGATGATATTCAAGGTTGGAGAACATTAATTTTGATATAAGAGATATTTTTTCATTTGTGTACTGCAATTACATGGGTTACACCCTGTGGTGTCTCTGTCCCTCCCTGCCTTCCAGTCACTGATTACAGTTCTTTGAATGGGCCAAGCAGTAGTCACCAGGATAGTCATGAAACGTACAGTGTTAATGATGATCATCACTGCTAAATTGAAATCTTGTTTTAATCCTCAGGACTTCAGAAACTACCAGTACACACTGCCTGTGGTCCAAGGTTTAGTGGTTGATATGGAAGTCAGAAAAACCAGCATCAAAATACCTAGCAACAGATATAATGAGGTAATGCTTATAAAGCATACATTTGTGTACAGTTTCTTTGTGTTTGGAGTACTGGGATCTAGAGGAAGTTTTATTTTATTCACTACCACTAAGGAAAAATGCCTCAAAAGCAAATACTAATTGTGTGATGCACACAGCTTTTGGAAGTGAATGAGCCTGGCTTCATAGGAAGAATGCAGTTCCATTTTCTATTTAATTAAAATCTTAAACTCTTTTTTCTTCAGTTTTTTGAACTGTTTACATAGTGTCATATGCTTGATTTGAGCAAGTAAGTTGACAAACTTTACACTTGAGGTAAACTAGGAAGAAAACATGCATGTGTTCCCACTCAAAGCATTTAGTAGTATTTGTTGGATTGCTGATTATTTGATGTAAAAGTTCCCTCAACACTGAAATTTTATAATTGATTTCTGGTGTGAGAAAATCAGTCAGCATCTGTAGGAGTTAGTGCTGCTAACTAGAGAAAGCTGGGGGAGGAGGTATTTGAACAGTAATGAAAGGGAACAGTGGGGAAGGGATTGGTGTCGTGTTCTCTCTGAAGAGAGGGGGGTAACTTGGTAGTTTAAAACCTGTCAGAACTGGGGTGAGAGCAAACCTCCTGAGCAGAACTGTATTTGTAAAAGTTCTTGTAAGATTGGAGCAGAATGCAGCTTTATCTCAAGAGGGAATTTCCCTGCAAAAAGCATGTGAGTAAAAAAAATTCATTGAAAAAAAAGTGCTCTTTTATGAAGTTTGAAAAAGATGAAATTGATGAAGATAAAGGGTCTGTTAAAAGGTGTTTTAATTTTTAATGCAGTTGTGCAGAATGGGAGAGGTCAGTGAAGTTTGAATGAATTCAGTCTGGAATGGCACAAACCATTCAGTTCAGTGTCAGCTGTGCCTGGTGTTTGCAAAGTGTCAGCTCCACTTGTGCCAGGCATGGACTGAGCAGGACTGAGAGGGAATTCCTGGGTCAGGGACGTAGCAAAACCTCTGCACTGTGCTCGGGTTCCCTTCCCGGTGTGATGCAAGGATCCAGCTTTTTAAATGGAGAAATTGTTACTTATTTAACATTGTTCATAGCTTGTGATTCATTTCAAAAGTTGTAGTAATAGGAATTTTTCATGAGTTTACTTTGAGGTAAGATTCACAGAATATTCTGAGTTGCAAGGGTCATCAAGTCCAACTGTTAATGGTTCATACAGGGATCAAACCATGACCTTGGTGTTACCATCACCCTCCTCTAACCAACTGAGCCAGTCTCAAGATTAATTAAATAATAAGCCCTTTGCTTTTATTTAATTAGAAAGGACCGTTACTCTGATATTTTCAATATCTAAAAAGTGAAAAACTAATTTGAAATCTCATGCGTGTATTAAATGGGGAAAATTCAGCCTGTAATTAACAAATTACACATTCATATGTAGTTTTTAATTAAATACATATTTTTGTTTTCAAAATTATGCAAATTTTCTAAAGCTTAGAGGGTCCTAGTTGTCTGTTTAATCCCTCAGCAAAGGTGACTGTAATTCCTTAATCAATTGCCTTCTAAGGAAGCACAGTTGCTCCATCCAGTTGTTTCTTGTTGTGCTGAAGGCAACCTCTGGGCTCCACAAACGTGGCTGTTCTGGAGCTAAAATCCAGTTTCTGGAGCATGGCATGATCAACTGGATAATGAAAGACACTGTTGTCTGATGCAAAATCTTAATTAAGTTTCCTCCCCAAACATTACACCTGTGCACATTTGTCAATAGCGAGCATCAGTTAATGTTCCTTACACTGTAATTAAGGTTTTACGTTGGACTGAGAGAGACAAATGTGTTGTGTGTAGCCTGCATGCTTATGAGCTCCAGGAAGCAGAGGTGGGAGTGTGAGTGCTGTTAGGAGATGTCAAATAATTCAGTATTTTTCTGGGTTTTCACTGCGGGGGGATTTGTGTCATTTAATTTGACTTTTTTTATTTTAAGCAAACATGTCATTTTCCTGTTTGAAACAAATTCCAGAGTTGGGTGACTCCCTCAGTTTTCTTTTGTATCAAAAATCACCAAGTCTGAGCCTCCATGGAGAGGAATAGTGGAGAAAAGAAACTATAAAATCTACAAGGGTGTTTTGTTGAGGCATCTAACTCGGTGTGTGTTAGATGATAGTCAGCAGAAGGGCAAATGTGTCACAAACTTTTCTGATGCTTTCTGAAGGCCTCCTTTGCAGAGAAAGAAAATTCATACATATTTTAAATAAGTCTTAAATTGGGAACATTGATCCCAGTTTCACCAGTTCATGCAGGTGAAGCACAGAGGCACTGAAGTTTTGGTGTCTGGTTGTGGCAGAACAGGATGAAATGGCCCCAGTCTGAGAGCCCATGTGGCACTGAACTGTGGAGGGGCATTTATGATTTATGTCATTAACAACTGTAGTTGTGCAAGCAAGCCAAGTATTTCCTCCCAGGGTTTTTCTCATGGTTTTTTCCTCCCATGTATTTTTAAAACCAGGTAGAGATAACAGCTTTTGCAATTTCTGTAGCTCAGCTATCCCTTGTACCACTTATCTTAATTGCACACAAGATGGCACTTTAAAGTACCCAGGCAGTAAAAGACCTGAACCCTGTTCTCAGAAGCAGTTTATGGTTCTGAGTGCTAAAACCTGACACGGAATATGAGAGCTTGAGAAGCTTCTGATTAAACTGCTCCAAGAACCACCTATTTCTGGAAGTGCTTGATGAGCTGGGTGGAAATGCTGAAGCTTTGTGTTTGCAGATGATGAAAGCCATGAACAAATCCAACGAGCACGTGCTGGCAGGGGGGGCGTGTTTCAACGAGAAGGCAGACTCACACCTGGTGTGCGTGCAGAACGACGACGGCAACTACCAGACACAGGCCATCAGCATCCACAACCAGCCCAGGAAAGGTGAGGGGAGCCCTGGCTCTGCTGCTCTGCACGCCTGCTTGGCCCCTCTGTGGCTGCCCCAGCTTTGTGGATTGCCTACAGCTGGGTTTCACCCAGTTTTTGTTAGAGAAAATCAGTCTGACCACTGGCATCCCTGACTGGGCAGCTTTGTGCTGGAACTGGCTTAGGCAACACTGCTTCATTAAAAATGAGAGCTGGCTTTGGCATTATGGGATGTGCAGGTGAGGTTGCCTGTGCTTGACCTATACTATGTGAAAGAAAGACTAGATTCAGTAGGACAGAAAGTTAAATAGGAATAACCAACCACAGCAGCATTGTGATAATGCATCTTCAAGCAACTTCTCATTTTCAAATTAATTAGACCATCTAATTTCCAGGGTATATTTTTGTTACACTAGGCTGAAGGGCTGCAGCAGCTGTGTGCTGAGAATTTAAATGTTGTGTGTTTAGGGACATTTCTGGCAAAGACATTTATACAATCTCCAAGTGAGAACAAGACAGAGGCTGATTTGGAGGTTTGCAATTATCACTGGTGACTCCACCAGGTGTACTGGCATGGAATGTCACTTGGGACTGATGGTCTTGTCTGACTTCTGTTAACTTCACCTATGTGACAATGAGGGATTTCCAGCAGGAATTTCATGATGCTTAGTAGTCACTGAAGATAATTTTCCTTTAAGTCAAGAGGCTTTGAGCTGTGGCCTTGCTGGTGGGTTGGTGTTAGTGTGATCCAAAAGCAGCTCACTCACAATCTGCCACCTGTGTGGGGACCTTTAGAAGTCTTGGTTGCCCAAAATTAGTAATTCTGAAACTCTGAGGTGTGTAGGGCATGGAGAAGGAGAGTGACAAGCATTAACTTAGACAAAAACTGTTTTCCAGTTTAGAAAATAACTGGGTGATTTGCATTTGTGTATCCAAGCTTGTGATGTCCAATACAGGCACCATAATTCCAAGCAGCATTAGTCCTGATTCAAGGTAATCACCTCTGGCTGATAGAGCTGATATCTGATTCCTGGGTAAGGCATTGCTTTGACAAAAGCCTCACTAAATCTCTCCTGTTGTTGTTGTTGTTGCAGTGACTGGTGCCTGCTTCTTTGTGTTCAGTGGAGCTTTAAAATCCTCTTCAGGCTACCTTGCCAAATCCAGTATAGTGGAAGGTAAGAACTGAACTTCTTGCTTAAAGCACACTTCTCTCTTTGCCCAGCTCAGCTCTGCAGCTAAAAGGGCTCTCTCTGCTCACATGCCTTGGGCCTTGGAGTCTTGCTGCCACTTCAGCTTTATCCTACTTCTAAGCAAAAACCACCCAGTTCCCTTTAACAAGGAGGAATTTGTGCAGATGCTGCAATACAGGTCTCAAGAAAATGAGGGTAAGATATGAAATACTTTGCTTGGGAGCCTGGGATTGATTCACTGGTTTGGGTTGAATGAGGAAATTGTGAGCCTAAAAAATACAGAATGTGTAATCTACCAACCAGCAGAGCCTCTGCTCTGTGTGGCCATGGGTGGGGTCCCTGGGCAGCCCCTGCCATCAGAGCTTGCAGGTCATTGTCCCCTTTCCTGTGTCTAATGGGTGGTTAGGGTAAGACAGAGGCTCGGGGGGATTCAGTCTGTACATGGAGAAGTGTTTCACTCCTGCTATTTTTGCCATAACTGAGATTGAGCCAAAGTGGTGCTGGGTTAATGGCTGGACTGGATGATCCTGGAAGTCTTTTCAACCTTAATTCTGTGAATCCAAATTCTGTACCTCTTGCCACTGTCAGGCTAGCACTGACTTCTCAACCACTGTCACTGCTGGAGTGCTGCTTCCAGAGCCAGCAGAGGCGATGGCTCAGTGGAGCAGTGTCATTGGGGTTTCTGAGGGTGGCCTGGAGCAGGTGTCAGGTTGTGAGGCAAACTCATGGGGTCTTTACTACAGCTGACTTCACCTGGGAGCTGCCCTTCTCTTACTGTTGTGTTTTCCCTCATCAGCACTCAGCAGGTTTGCAGTTTAAGAAGGTGACTGTTCAGAAGTGGGTTTATGGAGCACTGCTGCCCATGATGCATAAAATGAACATTTAACCTCTGTTGCAATCAGATGAAGGGTGTTTGTTTTTTTTCTGTATAGGCTCTGTTTGGCATGGCTTATCTTGACTAATGAGGATCTCTTGGTTCCCCAGATGGAGTGATGGTCCAGATAACTGCTGAGAACATGGACTCTTTGAGACAGGCCCTGAGAGAGATGAAAGACTTCACCATCACCTGTGGCAAAGTAGATGCTGAAGACCCTCAGGAACACGTTCACATTCAGTGGGTAGAAGATGATAAAAACTTTAATAAGGGGTAAGTAGAGGAGCACTTGACATTGGTGCCTGTTAAAATATTTAATTGATCTTGTAAGGCATGTGAGTCTTCCAATCAATAGGAATTAAAAGTCTGCACTTCTATTTTGAGTGATAAGATGCAATTAATTGTAATGAAAATGGAATTGAGATACTAGAGCTTTGGGGCATCAATTTAGAATATTGGCAATGCTATGGATTTTTTTTGGCATTGCCAATATCCAGTTATTGGAAACCACTAATCTGTCTCCAACTCTCCATGCTGAACCCTGCACATTGTGGTCACTTTGCACTGTTGGTGCTTAGTTTGCATTAAGTAGAGCTGGAAACCAAATTGCTGAACATCAACAGTATCTTTGGACACTTGATAGTGAAGCCAAAAGGAAGGTGGATTTGGCAGCTGAAGTATTTATGGCAGTAAACTGCTGTTGTGATTAATTCCATATTTCAGGACTCAGCACCTAGAAAGAAGGATATTTCTGTAGTTTCAGGCTCTCCAGATCAATCTTGGCTTCTGTAGTCTAGTCCTGGGCTGGCTAAGTTGTGTTTCAGGTATTGATGGCCTACACTGAGTTTACAAATGAGCAAAAATCCAAGCTGTATGAAACACCTCTGTCAGAACCTTACAGGATCTCAGCTCTGCTGCAAAGCCTTGTTGGAAACCTTCAGGAAGGTCCTTCTGCACCTGCAGTGTGCATGTGGCCCCTTTCAGGAACTGCCCTTTGACTCCAAGGCCCTTCTCTTCTGCAGAGGCCTCTGTCCAGCTCAGGTCTTGTGCTGAGTCAGGGCTCACCCTCCTCCCTCCCTTTTGCAGCGTTGTGAGCCCTATTGATGGCAAATCCATGGAATCCATAACCAGTGTGAAGATATTCCACGGCTCCGAGTACAAGGCCAACGGGAAGGTCATCCGCTGGACAGAGGTGGGTCCCTCAGCCCTGCACTCAGCCAGGGCTGGGCCAGCTGCTCCCCAGTCAGCACAGGGAAGCAGGACATGCTTCCCCACGAGGCTGTGGTGCCTGTCCTGCCTGCACAGGGTGGCATCCTGCAGGATAAAACATCCTGCCCCTGACAGGGCCACAGCCCGCGCTGCACGGCCACCACTGCTCATCAGGGTGTTCAGCATGGGGGAACCACAACAGCACTGGCTGCCTTACACACAGAAGAGTTGGTTTCATTTGCCTTTGTGTTAAAAACTGCCTTTCTACATGGAGACAAATCTTAATATAAATTGTTTTTCAGAAATGTTATTTCGAGCCGCTTTCTGTAAAATGTTGCATGTTAAAGTGTTGTGGCATAAATCACACAGAAACTGCTTGCATGGCTGATGTTGCCTGTGACTCTGCCAGCACACAAATGCTGGTGTCAAAATATTTCTTTAAGTGTTTCACTGCCTGCTGAGGAGGAACCAGGTTCCTTACTCTGCAGCTTAGTCCCCATGTGCCCTTTTTTCCCAGCTCACTTGGGCTCAACAGAAAGAAGTTCAGTGACAAAAATAGCAGAGATCTTTGGGTTTGTATTAAAAGTGTAATTTTTCTGAATTTAACATCTTTTTAAAAGCAGGTTTTTATTAAAACCACGTGTAATACATAGTGAATTTCCATAGCAAGGCTTTTGAGCAGATCTAAGAGGTTTCAGAGGACGATTTAAACTTAAATCTTTCTTCTGAAGTTTTATTTTTTCCTCCCTAAGGTGACTTGTCTTTAGGGTTTTTGCTGGGCTTCCCTGAACAGTTACTTCTTAAGTCTTCATTTGTAAAATTTTAAATTATATCCAGCCCAAATTTTCTAGAAAAGCCAAGTGTTATCTCTTGTGTTGACTCTTCCCTTCAGGTGTTTTTCCTAGAAAATGATGAGCAACACAATGGTCTGAGTGACCCAGCTGATCACAGCAGACTGACTGAGAATGTGGCAAAAGCTTTCTGTCTGGCTCTGTGTCCTCATCTGAAACTGCTGAAAGAAGATGGAATGACTAAGCTGGGTCTGCGTGTTACACTGGACTCAGATCAGGTAAGTTTTCAATAGTTTGAGTTTAACTGGGGGATTGTTCTCTTGTTCATTCCCCAGCATGGGAATACACCACTTAAACCAGGAGAGTTCTGAAGCAGTATCACATGCTAATCAGGTGGTGCTGGCTGCTGTTTGGTGTTTTGGGACATCTGTTAGATCCAAGGCCCAGCCTGAACTAACACAGGCTTGACCCCCACATGGCACAAGCAGCACCTGCTCTGTGCTCACAGAAGACTCTTAATTGGCCTTTTTGCTAGCAAGTACATCCTGCTCAGCCCAAGGAGCTGCTTTGAGAAAACAGGAGAAAAAGCTTCCTTTTGCTCAGGCAGCCACTGGGAACACAAAGAAGCACAAAGACAAATGGAAAAGCTGCTTTAGTGCCTGCTCGATCCAGTTCTCAAGTTCCTGACTTCCGTGGGAGATGCCACAGCTCCTCCTCCCTTCCTGCCCCCTGACTCACAGCCTCGTGTCCTGTTCTTAAAACCCACTCTTTGTATTTTTTAGGTTGGTTATCAAGCTGGGAGCAATGGACAGCCACTGCCCTCTCAATACATGAATGACCTGGACAGTGCCTTAGTGCCAGTGATTCATGGAGGGGCCTGTCAGTTGAGTGAGGGGCCAGTCATAATGGAGCTCATCTTTTATATTCTGGAAAACATCTCATAAGAGGACTTCATTTTCTGTTCAGACCTGTTCCAGCAGCAGTTGTATCTGAATCATTTGCACTTTAAAACTGGAAAATTAAGCTTTTGTTAACACTATTGGGGAAGGGGGGGAGGGGGGTGGGACAGTTGTTCCATAATTCTAAATCTTCTATGCATTGTCAACAACCAGAGGATCAGGGCAGCTTCTATACTACAACATGGCTATGCTATCCTTGCAGCTAATCCACTTCTGTTATTGTTTAGAAAAATGCTCATGTTTAAAGACTTACAGTCATGTACTCTAAATGCTCAAAGGGTGCAAAGATCACTGGGGCGTAAATAAAAAGTGAAATTCCAACCTTGTACTGTCTGTAGATGGACATGTAAGAAACAATCAAGACCTCCATTCTGACCTCATCCTAATGCCATTTGTGGTTATTCTATAGACATTAAAAAGTAACGTTTACATTGTTTTGACCAGATTATTGGTTGAAATAAGTCTGGAGAAGCCCTTGAGATATAGGGAAAGATTCCCTAGCCATAACCCTGTTTGTCTGTGCATGCAGAGGAGCAGGACAGACATCTCTCTGCAGTTGTGTGTGTGTAATAGGCTAGTTTCCTTTTCTCCTCTATTTACCACAAAAGTCTGTCACTTTGGGCAGGTTTCTGTGATCTCCTACAGCAACTCTGCTATTCTGTACCTTGTTTACAAATCTGTCTGAAGCAGAGGCAAGACCAGCCCCAAAGTGCAGTTCCATCTTGTTCCTTGTCCCCAGTAGGTCCTGCTTTTGAGAGGCGAGTCCCAGCCAGGGCAGCTGTGTCCCCTCCCTGCTGTTCGCTGTAGTGTAACGCCAGTGTCACGTAACCCAAGGCAGCTTGTACTTCATATTGCAGCCCCACGTCCAAGCTTACCTGTGGTACCAGTGTAGAGTGGCTGTTCCTGCATGTTCTGCTGAAAAAGGCTTTGTGGTCAGTTCTGAACATGTGCACTCGGCCCAGTGCTCTTGGTCTCACCTGAGAGGGCTTTGGTAGGGAGAGCAGCTGCTGCTGTCTGCCAGGGCATTAAGAAGCTGGAATTGAGCATCAGCCAGAGGAAATGTGGTTCCATGTTCTTACTGTCTCCATGGAAAGCTGCTAACCAGTGGCAAGAGCTGTAAGCAGGAGAAGGGGTTTGGTTTGTTTAGCCAGTCATGCAAAGCAGCTCTTTTGAGTCCCTCCCAGGAAGAGGGGTAAAGGTTTCTCCTCCTGTCTAGAATTAATTAATTTGGGAAGGGAGGTGCTAATTAATGCTGACCATTTGTGGTGTCATACACTCCCTGTTGCCGTCCATTCTGGGGGAAGCTGTGACACAGTAACACCAGTGGCCTTGCAAAGAGAAAGAGAAGTGCCAGGCTCTGGTTTTCAAACAAATCAACACCATTGGCTGGGCAAGGAAAGGGACCTGCACAGAGTGATATATTTTATGGAAAGGCAGCCCAGTGTCTGCACAGAGTGCACTTGGGAATAAATGGCTGCTGCTTTTCAAAAAACAAAAGTATGAAAAATCCAGTGTTCCAAATCACAGCTGGCACCACCCAGCCCTTGGAAAAGACAGGCCAGGGAACTGGGGCCAATTCCACAAACAAAAGCTGGCCAGCAAGAGGGAGCACACTACCACACTTTAAAGGGTGTCAGAGCCAAGTGAAGCCTTACCTCTGGCATTTGGGAGAGAGTGGGTGACTCAATTTAGCAGAGCTCATTTAGTGGTTCCTGCTGGCCAAAGCAGGAGCTGTGACCCAGCCCCTGCTCCTGCCGAGGTGCTGTGCAGCCCAGCTGGGCTGAGGCCACTTGATCCCCTCTGCACCCTGGATCTGCACACTCTGGGACACAGCTCGGCACCACACGGTGTAGGCACAGTTCCACAGCTGGAAGAGCATTCCAGAAACTTGGTAATAATCTTCCTCCTAGAGCCTGCACTCCAGCTTTGCCACAGCAGCAGCTTTCCAGTTTACTTTAGTTGCATTGTTACGCTTAATAATGCAGTAAAAGAGGTGAAAAATGTTTATCTTCTCTTCCTTTGCCCCAGAAGTCTTTTAGGTTTGGATTTCGTTTGTGCAAAACACTATCAACTGGTGACTGACATGTCTGCTTCAACCATAGCCTTTGAAATGACCTTAATTACCATGTTGTTAAGAAATGAGTACTTGTTTAGAAAAAAATTGTACTTTTAAAATTCAGTTAGTTAACACTGCAAAAAACTGCATATTATATTTTTATTTTCAACATGTAGTTTTGTATATTAAATTTATTGAAATTAAAAACTAAACACTGTATTGTCTTCATCTGCTCAGGAAGACAGAGGCAGAGCTGCTGACCTGTCTGGACTCTGTTCTGTCTCCCAACCTGCCCATCCCTGGCACAGGCACATCCTCCCCTTGGAGATCCCTGGTTCCTGTTAGCTCACAGAGATTTAAAAACACAAACAGATTTAGTACCCTTTCTTGTATGCTGCTGATCAAAAAGCATTCCTGAAAATAAGTCACGATCCAGTTTTCTTAAAGGACAAAATGAGACTATTTCCCCCATCACCTGGAAGAATTGTAAAAGCCTGTTTTTGTAAAAATATGAGGAACATTTGGGAAGCAGCAGAGTCTAGTGTACTTTCTTCTTTTTTAAATTAAAAGCCCAACACCAAAAAGGATGAAGGCACAGTACCCTTCTGCGCCGGACAAGCAGTGCAGCAAGCACGGCACACAGCTGGGAGCCAGGACAAAAACAGGGCTGTGAACACCAGCCTTTCCTGCAGAAAGGGACAGCCCTGGGAACCTCATGTGCCAAGGGTGTGCACAGAGCAGGGACTGGCACCCCTGAACTGCTGCCTGAGAGCTCTCCTCTGATTTAGGAAACAAAAAGACCCCAACCCAAACAGGCCTGGACAGGAGAGGACAGACACAGCAGTAGCAGACTGTTCACTGAACCACGCTGGCTGCTCACACACCTGGGAACAGCAATTCTGCTGAAGTCTTACCTGTGACTTAACCACAAAGCTCTGGCACTGCCTCAGGGAATTCTTAAAGGGCTAAACCTTTCCCACAGCGCTCTGCATAGTTAATGTAACATTCATCCTGGTGCTACAGAGTAGTCCCACATTAAGGCAATTCTGTCTGGTTGGGGTAGAGCGGCCCCAAGCCCTGCAGCAGCGCATTGCCAGAGCCTCCCGTTTGCCTTGCAGTTATTAATAAGCACTATGGCTGTTATCAAAATAGACATTAGGTTCAGTAGTGCATTCCTTTAACATCTTTGGTGCTTGCAGCTTAGCAGCATCTTCCTGCCTTCGCTCAGCCCACGACTTCCAACATTCCCACGGATCTGGGGAAAACAACACAAACAAACCCATCAGAATTCCTTGCTGCAGTACAGAACAGATGTTCACAGTTCAAGGAGACATTATATGGAAAATGCTGACACCAAGGTTGTGGATGGTCAACGAGGAAAATCAATGGAGCAAAACTATTAAGCTGCAGTGATGGAAAGTGCTTGGGCACGAGGCCAAGTTGTTATTTCAGGTATGGTCACCAAACGTGTCCCTCAGCCTGACTGGAGCTCACAGGACCTCCTGACTCCTTGGCTGGGAGGAAACCACTAAAACAGGCCCTTTGACACCCAAACGGTGACTCCTGCATTGAAGTGAGACCTCAGTCTCTACAGTCTGACACCATTTGCCACAGCTTTGCTTCCAAACTGGTGATGTCACTCCAAAGCTGATGAAAATTTGCTTAACTGCCATTTAGAAATGTAAAGTGAAATCATATGCTAAGGAAGAGGAAGCACAGGGGCTTCAGGAGATCAAGCAAAGGAAGATGGATTACTTATCACTTATTTTCTAAATAATATTCTTAGTAAAGGTGACAGCAGCAGCTGTTACTGTATTTCAAATGATTGTGAAACAGCATCTTTGAGATCCAGACTAATCAGAGATTCTGTAACCTCATTTATGAAATGATGTCAACTCCCCACCACAAATATAAAGAGGAATGCTACTGAAGCCAGAGCAGTGTAATTAGGTCAATGCCAACAAAAGACATTGTTCAAACAGAATTTATCTCTAGCCCTGCCCAGACCACCTCTGGCCACAGTGCTCATACCTCAGACAGAACTAACGTTCAAGGACCAGCCAATTTTCTGTAACTGTTTGAAGATCTTGACCACTGAGGGGCTCCCTGAGTCTCACTTTTACCTCCAGTTTCCCTCCAGTGGGCTTTCTGCCATCAAAAATCTGAAATAACCACAAAAAGAAGAGGAGTTAGGACAAACAGGGATTATAATGTTAAACCACAGAGCCTCAGGCAACTGTGACTGCATGTGCCTGTGGCCCAAGCGTGGCAGAGATCCCTGCAGGTGACTGCAGTGCTGGGAGTGTCACAGCCAAGCACTTCCTTGGACTGGAGCTCAGCAGAGCAGGTGCCCCACAACCCAGGCAGGTTATCAAATTCACCTAACACAAAACTCTACTGCAGTCACATTTATGTGGTCCAGATACTCATTTCCCCTTTGGGTTGAAACTGAGCAGAAGAACACACCTCATCCCAAAATTGTACCTCTATGATCTCTCTAACTTCACATTCTGATTCCAGCTTGTCCAGCTTCAAGTGTGCTGTCCCCACGTGTTTGTCACTTCTGAAAAAGGATCTGTGCCAAAGAAGTGAAGGAATAAAGACTGTCAGGACATTAAAGAGAAAACAAGCCCGAGGTCATCACTGTTTGCTCCATCCCCACATGCAGACAGGGCTGGTCAGGACATGCTCCTGGAGCCCTGCACACCACAGGGCCACAGGCAAACCCTTAAAAACCAGACGACAAGGAACAAGATAAGAAAGTACTCATTTGCTAATTATTCTTTTGCAAGCAAGGTAAAGATGAGGACAGCAGTGAAGAAAAACAGCCAACTAAATCAGCACTTGGAGTGGCAGCAGCTTCTGTCCCTGCCCAGGGTGACAGGGAAGGAGGCCCAGTGGCCAGGACAGGGCCACCCTCTGCTTGGGGCTGTTTAACAGAACAGGCTGAAGGAATTCCCAAGGAAGCTGCACCTCCCAGCAAAACAAACATTTCACAGGCACCTGTTGCTTTTGGCAAACTACTTTTAGGAAAACATCACATGAATCATTCTGTTTTGTCTTGATAAATCAAAACAATTTCAGTAAATAAGAACATTTCAGCTATTGTTTGGATTCACCTACATACTGGTAGTTTTAACAGTCAAAAACTATAATTTTAGGTTTTCCAGTCTGCTGGAATTAAACACAGAAGCATTTTTATCCTGTGAAGAAAACAAACAACTTCTTGCTGTAGTCATTTGTGTTGGAGCAGTTTAATCAGCAGTAAGTCAATCTTTACCTGAACAGAGCCAGGTGTTACAGCTCTTACCCAGAAAAACTCCTCCAAAAGGCAACAGCCAAGACTAAACCACCCTAATTCCACAGGAGTGTTCAGCTCAAACACAGCATTTCTTTGCCTGCATCCAAGCATCTCCCTGAACCAGTCTCCAAAAGGTTTGATAAACAACTAAACACTAGAGAGTCTGGAGTTAAAAAAGATAACTTGGCCACACCTGCTTGTGTTTTCTTGGAAATTTTCCAAGATTTCAGATTTCCCCTTTTTACCCACTATTTCAGAACAAAACAAGCAACCAGACCAACAAACACAAAAAGCTAAAAAACCCATCCCCCACAACATCCACCCTTCTTCTTCCTACTATCATTAAGGGATACTATCAAGTAAGACTTGACATATGCAGTGGAAACTCAGAGATTGATCATGGAGCCTCATGATCACATCACTGGTGGCAACAGGAGACTCTCCATCAGTGAGGGCACAGCAGACTCACAGAGTCATTTAGGAAAGTTCAGAGTTTCTTAGGTCACATGTTGGAATATTTCCTTCACAAGGACCTTAAAATGAAGGGTTATGTAATTGTACTGCAGCATGTGGGGCACTTTGCTCATAAACTTCAGAGAATCAGCAATTCTTGCTGCATTTTTTAAAGCATTTTTCCATTTTATAACTCAAGAAACAAAGACTGATTCATCCCTACTCAGTTCCAGGGGGCTGCTGTGAAGACTGAGAACTTGCTCTAGGCTATGGCTTCAGAAACAGCTCTGGGGAAATTCCCTTTCATCTTCAGAAGCTTTTAGGAGAGGCTCAAGAAGAGACTTCTCCTTTGGAAAAACACATTGCTGAGTTTTTACTTGAAAGTGTTGTTAAACTGAAGTTTAATACATATGACCTGAAACAAGTCTCCTTTGCTCACTGAGCAAAAATAATTCTTGGGAGATGGTCAAGGAGCTATCAGAGACCCCAAAGCTACAACACCCAGCAAAGCATTTCTGAAAGTATTATTCATTTGTAGTCTTAGAAAGGACAAGGAGCAGACAGTCTTAAGAAAAGAGCCTGGATCACTTCATCCTCTCCTTTCTCCCACGCTGGGAAAAGGTGACAAAAAGCCCATTTAAAATAAATGTAAACACTTCACAGCTCTGTGCAAAAGAGGAGGGATCTTGAACACAGAGCAGTCAGGATTGACCGAAAAAAAATAAAATCAACTTTTGCTTCAACAGAGATGCCAATGGACGATCTGGAAGAAAGCAGTGGGACTTCAGGTCACAAACTGAAACATCTGCAACTTGAAAACCCTCTCAGAAAACCTATGGACAATTTCTGCATGGCCCAGTAATAGCAACAAGGAATAGGACAAAGAGCACCAGACAAAACCCAGGTTATGTGGCATCCCATCACAGTCCTGGATCACAGCCAAGCCAGGGATGAGGGAACACTGGCCAGTCCTATTCTGAATAACTCAGTTATGAACCTGGACTGAGGATGATGCCCTGAACATTGTTAACATTCATCTGGTGGTCCTGCTCTCTGAGATGAGGGGAGTCTGTCTCTCTCAAGCCAGCTCCAGCAGTGCTCAGGAAGTACTGCAAGACCCAATGAATGGAAGTACAAGAACTCCAGTTTCTGTAGTTTTACAAGTACAAAAACTCCAGTACAATGAAGTTTTAGAAATACAAAAACTCTAGTACAGTTCTGCCATCACCTGCCACCTGCTTTCCTGCTCTTCATATTTTGCTGCCATTTCATTATTCTACAGAGTTATTCCACAGAATATTTAAATTTTCTAGTCCTGATGACCAAAACCAAACTGGGTAAGAATCAAAACAATTTGAAGAAAACCACTGCTTTCTCAGTCCCACCAACTCCTTTTAGCACACTAATCCTCAACTGATCTGAATCAACTTCACTGAATTTGTGCCTTTCTTCACCCCCACGGGGGAAGCTGCAGAGCTCAGGCACATTTTGAAAGCTCTCAGACACGAGTACCAGACAACTCTTCAGTGCTGGGTTAGAGATTGTGCTTCATAAACTTCAGCTCCAACACTCTTTTCAGCTGTTAGCAGAGAGGCAAACTGTGGACTCACCCTTTGTGGAACACTTCAAATTTGATTCCTTTGGAGCGGATTGCGCGCCGGAAGCCTCGGTGGTTGCGGTTGATGTTCAGCTTGAACAGCTGGTTGTACTCTGCAAGTGAGGTACAGGACAGGGGAAGAAGCTGTGAGTCAAATGGTGTGCAGGGCTCCACTCCATGCACCTGCTCAGAGCTCTTTTATCTTGGTTTGGCCCACA